GAGAATCATAGAATCATGGGACTCTGGAGCTGGAAGGGTCATCTACTCCAACCCCCTGCAAGCAGGAATCTCAACTAGAGATTCATCCACAACAGATGGTCATCCAACATCTGCTTAAGAACCTCCAAGGGAAGAGAGTACACCACCTCTTGAGGGAGTCCATTCCACTGTCAAACAGCTCTTACTGTCAGAAAGTTATTCCTGATGGTTAGCTGGAATCTCCTTTCTTGTTACTTGAAGCCATTGGTCCTACCCTCCAGAGCAGGAGAAAATGAGCTTGGTCTACCACTGAGCTATGGCCTTTCCATTAGCAGGGAAAGCGACTGGTTGCCACAGGCTTCTTGCCTCATTGCCCCCAGGTTGCAGGGTATCTCACAAGTCAATCCTTAGCCTGAGAAAACTAGAAATGAAGCAATATGAAGAGTCAGCCATGATTTAGGTCACAGTCCCATGTACAGTTTGATGAGTTTAGCAGTGTGATTCTAGTTGAACGTTCCCTACAGGGAAATTAACATGATTGCAACTTAAGGTTTACTTAGAAGCAAGTCCTATTGAATGCAATGGGATGCGCTTCTGAGTGAGTTGTGCAGGACTGCACTGCAGAGTGAGGCTTCTGAGAACATATAGCTATAGATAGGACTGGAATTCAAACGGCATTTATAAAAAAAGTCAAGCTGCAAGAAAACCTATTCCATGCAGTAGGATAGGCATGAGGAACCTCTGGGCTGAAGCCACATGCACCCCTCCAAGTCCCTCTACCTGGCCCTCAGGACTCTGTCAAGACCACACCGCCTTTCCAGCTCCACCTGCTACTGGCCCTGCCTCACACCATCGTGGAATGTTTTTGCCTGGTTGGAATGCGTCATTGATCTCCAATAATAATATCCTGCTTGCCTGGACATGTCATAGAGAGGGATGTGTGAATGTGTGAAGGAATGACAAAAAGGCAACATTTACCATTGCTGCTCTGCCCACTCCGAGCAGGTGTGCCTCTCCAGACTGGGGTTTTTGGCTACAACGCGCCACTGATGCAATCACACTGCATCGGCAAAGGATCCGTACTGGACACATTGTTCTGCTTTATTAGTTGCTCAGAGATGCTGCCCCAATGTTGCCGCATTATTGTCATCTGGAGGGACACTCTTGTGCTATAGCACAACAAAAGTGGGCAGAAAAATAAACCTGGAGCATTTGGGATATAAAAGAGAGACAGGATTTCAGCAGGAAGCTATGGAACATGTGCACAAACAGTATTGAAAGTGGGATCAGGAATAACTGCCCTGGTATTACTGTGAGCCTAAATCGTGATGGCTGCATCAAGAAGGGAGAGGCCCTGGGCGGCTGCATGCACGCGGGAGTAAACTGCCACTTACTACAAGCTCTTCCGCATTCACCCCGTGCAGTGCTTGCACATTTAGGAGGACTAGAATAAATGGGAGGAAATTCTCAAGCAACGCTTCAATCAGTTTTAGGAACAAATAAACAACCATTTATGTTCACCTAATTCTCATTTCCATCCTGGTACTTTTGAACATTCATGCTGCTGTGATCATTGAGAGTTTTTCAACTGAATATATAATGGATTTTCCATGTTAATCTACGATATTTTATTTTTAAAAAAATATAAAATACTCAAATGTTTTCAAAAGTAAAAGATATAAAGTACTGGATTTCTAAAGTGTTGTTGAATATTTTATTAACCAACAATATTTGATTAAAAAAATAAAAAAACCCATTTTTTACACAACATTTTCAAATGTTCAGAAATGGAATTCCGATTCAGAACCCCCTCTGTTCTTCCCTGGTATCGATGTTAAACTCACTGGTCAGTAGTTACCTGGGTCTTCTCCCCCCCCCTTTTTTTTTGAAGATGGGGACAACATTTGCCCGCCTCCATTCTGCGGGGCCTAACCTGTGTGTCTATTTTAGTACAACTCACAAATGCCGAGTCCAGAGCAGAACTGGCTAAATTGGCCAGTGCAGATGCAACTTTATTGTTCTCATCAAACCATGCTTCCTCTCTCGCTCTCAGAAATGTAAATATGTATGCCTTTCCTTTTTTTTTTTACACAGTCATGCTTCTAAGCAACCTAAGAATTCGTTCCACTCACAAAACTCCTTGTGCTTCCTCAGTCTCCCTGCTTTGCTGCTTTTGCCTCACTGTCTGAAACCCTTGTACCAAACATCACACCCTGAACCCAATGCATGCCAATTGCAACAAATAACTATGAGAAGCTCCTGAAGGAAGCTGGTAACAAAAGTGAGCAAACAGCACATCACTGAGGAAAAAGTGATCTGCTCTGGATCTATTAGGCGGCAATTGTACACCCAGTTTCTTGTGAGTAAGCCCCCTTGAACTCAATGGATAGATTGCAACCCTAGCTGGACTTACTGCCAGTGGCGCAGCGTAGTTTGCTAGTGCCTGGGGTGGGGCAAGTATTGCGGCCCCCCAATGGACTAGGGCAGCTGGGTTAGGGGCATGTGCCAGGGGCATGTGTGGAGCCCATGTGGAGGGCAAACAGAGCCTGCCTCCAACAGGCTCCTCACCTGCTGCCTCCATCCACCTGCCCATTAGACAAACCCATCCGCTGCTGCGCCTCAGCTGCCTCTGGGCCTGTCATGGGGGCACCCAGGGCCAGGCTACATATTGATCATACTTAAAAGTTATTAACTTCCTGCCTTCATCCAGCCTGAAGATCTCTCCTGAAAGTTCCCTTCCTTGTTATCATCCCCTTTAAAATTCTAGATAGGATTGCGCCTTGTCTCCAGAAGGATATCCTCATTGCAACAGCATTCCAGCTCATACTCAGGATGGGCAAGAAGAGAAGGCCAGGAGGAAAACAGCAGCACATTGCCTGTTGGCTGGGGTGCCACTGAAAGAGGGGTAAATCACAAAAGAGGCGGGCTCACTAAAGCAGAGGGGGAGAACCTTCAACTCCCATCAGTCCCAGCAAGTTGTAGTCCAGCAACATCTGGAGGGCCACAGATTCACCAGACTCACCCTAAAGGCGTGGACCCTTTCACATGCAACTCTTTCTTTTCAGTCAGGTAGAATGGGCAATGCATTCAGTGCTTCAAGGAACAGTTACAACACCAAGCATTTAACTCTATTTCCATGCTTCCCAATAGTAGCATTCTGTGTAACTCAGAACTCTGCCAATTTACCACAACAGACAATGCTGACTAGAAAAGCTAGCTGAACAAACAGTTAATACAACTTAGACAATTCTGTGCCTTGCCCATTTTATCCATGCTGGGGACTGAAATCGCTGCTGACTTGTTTTAAGAATGTACATCCATAAATCCAGAGTCTGGCTGTGAAGGCATGCGTCGGAAGGCAGCTATGGCATGGCCAGGCCTGTCACAGGAGCCAGGCCACAGAGTTCTTTCTCTCCCACCACGTTCAAGGGGCAGCATAGTGTCAGGCCATGCTTACCAGCTAGTGGTTTCCACCACCAACCCTTTGGGTGCATCTGTCTGCCTAATGTGAGAAAGTAGGAAGTCACAAGACAAGACGCACAGAAAACATCAAGAGCAGCCAGCTACCCGCAAGGCTGCCTGTTCCCGTTTTCTTCTCTTAGGCAAATAAAGCAACCTGTGTGAGCTGCAACGACTCACCCCTGTGAAGTCCATGCATCCAGGGAGCTTTCAGTAAAATCCTCGAAGGCAACGTCTCATCGTTCGAAGATAACTTCTCCCTCTCTCTCTCTTCCTTTTTAAGAAGGAGGCAGTTTTCTTAAACCACAAGATTTACCGAGGTTCACAGAGAATGAGAGAGAGAGAGGGAGAGAGGGGAAGGCAGGCAGAAGGGGAGGGGCTGGGAAAAAGAAAGGCCCAGAGGCCGTATAGAATGACAATGGAAGGAAATGCTTTATCAGACTCAGAAAGACCAGCCAGCCAACTCTACCCTGGGAACAAGGGGCGGAGGGAAAAAGAGGCAGAGAGAGAGAGAGAGAGAGAGAGAGAGAGAGAGAGAGAGAGAGAGATCCTGCAGAAGAGAAAAAAGTTAGCCAAGCTGCTGTGGTCCCCTCCCTTGGCAGCAGATGTCCTCTCAAAAGCACCATGTCACACACAAGGCAGAGAACAACAATGCAACAGTCCACTCCGCTTTCTAAAAAAATAAATGTGAAAATAATAAAATGAGGTATAGTTTCTTTAAGAAGCGCGACGTGGGGAATGAGAAAGAGAAAGAGAGCATTAGAATCTGAACAGCATTTTTCAGACACACCCTCCTCCTGTCTCTCTTTCTCTCTCCCCGACTTCCATCCTTCCAAGATCTTGTGAGTCAAATGTTAGCAAAGCCACTTCCGGCTTGCCCAGGAGGTGGGGTTGCGGGCTTCACGCCCACCCCACGTGAGCGGGGGCTGGTTTCAGCCCCCGCGAGAACAGGGGAATCCCGGCCGGGTGTGCCCCCCCAGCCAGCCAATCGGCTGGCTGGGGGGGCGTGGCCTGGGCTATTTAGGGCCGGCACGGAGGGGGCTTGCAATTTTTGTTCTATAGCTCAAACCTTCCTTATTTCCCTCTCCAACTGTAATTAAGGTTCATTTGAAGTGCAATTAAATTTGAAAACAAATAAAGTTGTAATTGAGGTTAAGTGACTAATCAAATTAAGCATTATTTAATTAAATACAGTAAATCGGATAAATAAGTTAATAGATAACTCGGCAGTTATATTTCTTTCCTTGCTATACGTTACGCCCTTCCATTTCCCTTCCACTTAAAGTGCAATTAATAATTAAAATCAAGTAAAGTTATTATAGAAGTTAATTGTCTAATCCAATTAGGCTATATATAATTGAATATAGTAAATCAAATAAATAAATTAATAGATAGCTAGGTTGTTATATTTATTTCTTTGCTACTATTAGTTGAAATTTGGCTGCAGTGAACTTCTAGTGCAGGCAATACTGAATTACAGTATTATTGTGAGCTATTCACGCATATAATCAGAACTACCTGCTATTAACCAAGGGTATTAATCAAGAGTCTTGACTGTAACTATGTCGAATCAAGGTAACCAGGTAAATGCTGCTGCATCCGGGGGGGCTCAAGGGAACCAGGAGGAGTCCCAGCCATTTATAATACCAAGTAACCCGCAGGCTTTGGCGCAGTTTTTCACGGCTTTTCAAGAATTTTATAAGCAGAGCAGGTCCGCAGGCCAAGTGACACCCACACCAGGGGCAGCAGCACCAATGACGGTCGCGACAGTGGCAACAGTACCAGCGGCAGTTGCACCGGCTGTAGCACCGGCCCCAGTGCAATCTACACCTTTGGCGTTCTCCCAGGAGTTCATCCCGGACACTCAACTCAATGAGGTAGTACTTCCAGGTACATCCGCGTCCTCTTTGGCAGTGCTGGGTGCAGCCAAAGAGGCAACAGCCCGGCAAAAGAAGAACACCCGCGCTCAGTCTGCCACCTCAGGCAAGACAAAGGGTGGCCAGAGGGGTGGCAGGAAGGGTAAGGCTAGTGCACAAGGTTCGAAGGCGGCTAACCCACAAAAAGACCCAGGTGTCCCTAGTCTCTTTCAGGTTCTGCCTCCGCAGGCGGCACCTGCCGAGGGCGCATCAGAGTCCACTCGGACGAAGAAGCGCTGGGGCTGCAGGCGGTACAGGCGAACAGCATACCGCAACAAGCCACGCCGGAGGTCCTCTCTGGGAAGAGGAAAGAAAAAAGAAAACACACTTCTAAGAAGAGTAAGAAGAGCAGGCGTTCGGAATCGGATGATGATTCAGGTACCTCTTCTTCTTCCGACTCTGATAGTGATGATTCTAGGGAGGAGTATTGGGGTCACGGCGAGGACTGCGTGGGCCTTCCTTCTTGGGCCCATGAAAGGAGGGCCAATTCCTACCGTAAGTCCTTTAATGGGACTCTCGAGTGGAAGGACGGCGCCCTAGTGCCGGATGTTAAAACCTCCACGCACCTGTCCACAGATTTCATTGTAGGTAACCATTTATCCCAGAAAAAGAGGGACAAGATCCTCAATGGTGATTTTATTGATATGTTCCGATTGTTGCCTCCAGCTAAGTTGACAGGTAAAGGAGAAAAGAGGCGCAGCCATGGAAAACGCAGGTACAGAGCACCCAGAGTTGAGCGCACTTTCGACCATTGGCTTGATGGGTTCCAGGTGTTTATGGGTGTGGTCAGTGCGGCTTATCCTAAACGGGCGATGCATTTAGTCGCCTACTTGGCCCATGTGAGGAGGGCTAGGGATCTAGCGGGGGATACAGCCGCTCTAAATTACGATGAGGATTTTCGCAGAAATGCGTCGCTGTTATCTTCCACTCGTTGGGATCTGAGGGACCAGAACTATTGGTCTGAGCACGTAGGCCCCTACGTAGACAAGAAGCCCCAGGACTCGTCAAAAGCCTGGAAGACCGCTCCAAGACAGAGGCGACTGTGCTGGGAGTTCAATAAAGGGGTCTGTGTGCGGCCGGTCTGTAAGTACAGCCACGAATGCGAAAAATGCCTTGGTAACCACCCGGCCACTGCCTGCCTTAAAGGGAGGCAGCCCTTTCGGGGGGGGAGAGGTTCCTACAATCAGGGTTCCAGGGGCGGCCATGGAACCCCATTGGGACCTCAAGGGAACAGGCAGTAACCTCAATCTCGGCCTGGCCTTTTCCCCCGTCAAGTTGACCCCGTTAAAAAACCTCTTGCAGTTATATCCCAACAGGGCAGCAGCAGCGTATTTATGGGAAGGATTTAGTGCCGGCTTTAGGATCCCAGTAGCTTTTCCCCCCAATTCGGGTGATCCACCAAATCAAAAATCGGTGAGGGAGATGCCCGAGGTTGCCCGAAAGAAGATTAGTAAAGAAATTAACGCAGGTAGGGTAGCTGGCCCCTTCTTAACTCCCCCGATCCTAGGCCTTCACATATCCCCGTTAGGTATAGTCCCTAAGAAAGCACCTGGTGAATTTCGCATGATTCACAACCTTTCCTACCCAAAGGGAGGGTCCGTCAATGACGCGATACCTCAGGAGCTCTGTACGGTGAAATATGCTACTTTTGACCAAGCGGTCAAGATTATTCGCAAATTCGGCAAGGGCGCGCTTTTGGCAAAGTGCGACATTGAATCGGCCTTTAGACTCTTGCCAGTTCATCCGGAGGACTTCCGGTGGCTGGGTTTCAAATTCGAAGGGGTTTATTTTGTGGACAAAGCAATGCCCATGGGCTGCTCAGTCGCCTGTGCAGCCTTTGAGGCATTCAGCACCTTCCTGGACTGGGCGCTTCGCTTTAGAACTGGGTCCGAGGGCGTGTCGCACTACCTGGATGACTTTATCCTCGTGGCCAATAGTAGGCGTAAGTGCTCAGAGCTCCTTGAAGCCTTCACATCGTTAGCAGGGGAGCTGGGAGTTCCCTTGGCCGCTGACAAAACAGAGGGTCCAGCTACAACCATGGTCTACTTAGGTATCGAATTGGACACAGTCGCCCAGACCTCAAAACTTCCCAGAGAGAAGCTGATTGCGCTTGGCGACCTCATTCGGCAGCTCCTCCCCCTGAAAAAGGTAACACTAAGGCAGATACAGTCACTGCTAGGCCACTTAAACTTTGCCTGCCGCGTGGTTTCCCCTGGCCGTCCATTCTGTGGCCGCCTCGCGAGGCTGGCAGCCGGCCTGCGATCCCCCCATCATAGGGTTCGCTTATCTAAGGAGGTAAAATCTGACTTGGAAGTTTGGTTGAAGTTTCTGGAGAACTACAACGGTATTTCCTTGTGGCAAGAGAACTTGCTGTTGCAAGTGGACTTCCAGGTTCATTCAGATGCTTCAGGCTCCTTAGGGTTTGGCGTTTACTTCAGAGGCCAATGGTGTGCCCAACGTTGGCCGCCAGCGTGGCAAGGGACCCCCATAACCAGAGATTTGACCTTCCTAGAATTCTTTCCAATTGTTGTGGCAGTGCACTTGTGGTCTGAAGTCTTCAGCAACCATAGAGTTTGCTTCCACACTGACAACCAAGCAGTGGTGGGAGTCCTTTCCAGGCAGGCCGCGCGATCATCAAGGGTAGGTGCCCTCTTGCGCTCCTTCGTTCTCAGGTGTCTGGAACTTAATATCCACTTCTCCGCCAAATTTGTGCCTGGAGTTAACAATGACATCGCGGATGCCCTATCTCGTTTTCAGATGGACCGCTTCCGCTCGTTAGCACCGGAGGCTCAGCCGCTTCCTCAGCCGTTCCCGGAACATCTGTGGAGACTTGGGGACCAGAGTCATGGGAACCAGAAGTGATTCAGGGAGTATTGGCCTCATTGGCTCCGTCCACTTTAAGATCGTATAAGAAGGCGTGGTCAGATTTCCTTAATTTCTGTAATAAAACCCGCACCGATAGGAATAACGCCCCCCCCGTTAAGTCCGAGGTCTTATCTTACTTGGTATACTTAAAACGTTTGGGTCGCGCCCCAGAACTATCAACCTTCAGGCAGCGGCAATATCATTCTTTTGCAAGGTGTTATTTTCCTCTGATCCATGCGCTGATTTCGTCATACGAAGGACCCTGGAGGGCTGGCGCAGGCTGCAGCCCCCAAGCCATGACGTAAGGAGGCCAATATCATTCGACATCCTTTCCCAAATTCACAAAAAGCTGAGAACGGTCTGTTGGTCCAAGTATGAGGCGCGCTTATTTTCAGCGGCATTCTCCATCGCCTTCTTTGGTGCGATGCGTGTGGGTGAGGTGGTTTATGAAGAGGGTCAGCGCGGCTCTTCCCGGGGGTTACTACTGAGCGACCTTACGCTCTCTAGGGAGGATCTGGTGTTACGAATACGCAGCTCCAAAACAGACCAGTACGGGAGGGGGGCCCTGGTTCGGCTTCTGGCAACCGGACAACCAGGCCCGTGCCCCATTAAGGACACCAGGCGCTTCCTAGATCTGAGGACCAATTCGGCAGGGCCTTTCTTTATCCATGCAGACGGCTTACCTCTGACGCGTCAACAGTTCACACGGGTTATGCGCTCAACGCTGGCCGCATGTGGCCTTCCCCCTGCGGATTTCGCGGCGCACTCGTTTAGAATAGGTGCGGCCACCACAGCAGTGCACCTGGGCCTTACTACGGAGAGGGTTAAGGACTTGGGCCGCTGGAAATCGGACGCTTACAAACGTTATGTTAGAGGAAATCTATGATGCTTCAACTGGGGTCAATTGACCATGGCCTGTTCTTTTAATCTTTTGCAGGTGTTATGGGGGTCCGCGTCTGGATATTCGGGCACAGCATTGTGCATTGGGCCAGGGTCCGCGCCATCAACTCCGGTCTCGGGCCGCGCCTCGGCTTACCGTCTGGCATCACTTTATCCTGGGTTGCGCGAAGGGGAATGCGCTGGGCGGAGATGTTGCCCGCATTTAAGACCAGAGCAGCAGCGGAGGGCCCCCCGGATGCTTTGTTGATACAATTGGGAGAAAATGACCTTGCCTACAGGAAGGCAGTTGACTTGCAGTGGCACATTTTCAGTGACTTTGAGGAGCTTAAGGCCTCTTACCCGGACATGACAATCATTTGGGCCTCTTTGATGGAGAGGCGTGTTTGGAGGGATTGCAGGTGCCCGATAGCCATGAATAAGGCGAGGAAAGCCTTGGATCGGGCGGTGGTGCGTAGAGTGGCAGCCCTGGGTGGAAAGGTCATTGAACACCCGGGCATTCGTTTCAACTGTGAGGCCCTCTACCGGTTTGATGGCGTGCATCTTTCCGATGCTGGAAATGATGTTTGGCTGTGCGACATAGTGAAGGGGATAAGGGATTGGTTTCAGGTATGAGAGTATTGGCGGCGAGCGGTTGCTCGTGTGGCGGTAGGCATTGGTAAGAAGGGGTTAAGAGGATGTGTGGGGGGGGAGGAGCGCCATCACCTCCCCCCAGTGAACGAAGGGTGGTCCGTTAAAGGACTCCGGGGGGCGTGGCCCTGTCCGAAGCCTATGGAGGTGAGGGCCAAAGGCACGCCCCAGAGCGGTGACCCGGGAGCTCCTAGTCGACGTGCCTCGGCAGGAGACTCCCGATATAGTGTTAACCCTTCCCCGTGTCTCCAGCAATTGGGCTGGAGCCGGATAGTCGATAGGACCAATGCCTAAGCCAATGCCTCTCATTCCTGAACTCAATAAAGTTGTGGCCTAATTCGCCCAATTAACCTTAATTATGGTGTCTGGTGTCTTTATTTATCCTGGTGGGGGGCGGGAACTCGCCACGCAAAGCCACTTCCGGCTTGCCCAGGAGGTGGGGTTGCGGGCTTCACGCCCACCCCACGTGAGCGCGGGCTGGTTTCAGCCCCCGCGAGAACAGGGGAATCCCGGCCGGGTGTGCCCCCCCAGCCAGCCAATCGGCTGGCTGGGGGGGCGTGGCCTGGGCTATTTAGGGCCGGCACGGAGGGGGCTCGCCCTCTCTTTGCCGGCTAGCCCTCACGTTTTTTTTTCCCACCCTCCCTCCCTCTAGGTAGGTTTTAGGCAGGTTTCTGACTTTGCTATGGACTTCGGTCTGTCGCCGCAAGGGGCATGGTAGGAATTTTTCCCAATTGGCAATTTACAGCCTTTTGGTTTTTCGCCTACCTCGTAGCAACTCGTCACAACTCTTCGGCATTGGCGGTAGGCATTGGTAAGAAGGGGTTAAGAGGATGTGTGGGGGGGGAGGAGCGCCATCACCTCCCCCCAGTGAACGAAGGGTGGTCCGTTAAAGGACTCCGGGGCGTGGCCCTGTCCGAAGCCTATGGAGGTGAGGGCCAAAGGCACGCCCCAGAGCGGTGACCCGGGAGCTCCTAGTCGACGTGCCTCGGCAGGAGACTCCCGATATAGTGTTAACCCTTCCCCGTGTCTCCAGCAATTGGGCTGGAGCCGGATAGTCGATAGGACCAATGCCTAAGCCAATGCCTCTCATTCCTGAACTCAATAAAGTTGTGGCCTAATTCGCCCAATTAACCTTAATTATGGTGTCTGGTGTCTTTATTTATCCTGGTGGGGGGCGGGAACTCGCCACGCAATGTGTTACCGTAATGTTACCAATGTGGTACGTGGAATCCGAGAGAGTTTATAGCTAATAAAACACATACACATATGTTGAAGGAGAAAGAAAAAAGGATTCCCAAGTGGCACAGCCCATCAAGACGGACCCCTGCCCAGTCCAAACTTGTGCAAAGGACACGTTTGTGGTCCAGGCAGGTCCCCACCACCAAACTTCAAAATCTCAGAGCGATTTTTGTCAACAGCTTCTCTGTCCCTGGGTGAACTCTTCTGAATTTAGGTGCAGAGTACAAATGATTATTTTGTGTGTTTGTGTATTTGTGGGGTGTTTTGTATTCTTTCTGGTGGCATAATGTATGTTTTGTTTTTAAATGTGTTTTTGCTTGGAGATCTTTGGATAACAAGTGCCATGTTATTATTATTAGTAATAGTAATAATAACAACAACAACAATCAGTGCTATTTTTCTAGGGGGGAAATGGTGCCAGAACTCAGCATGAACGCCTCCCTTGCACTCTTATAGTGGCAATGGCGTCCACCTGAGAGGGGCCAGAACTGAGTTCCTGCGACTTCTGGCTGAAATAATAATATCTTAACTAAGCCTGGGTGTGACGTGGCATTTTCACAACTGTGCTTTTTGCACACATCTTTTAAGATTGGTAGAGGGGACAACACTCTTCACATCCTACATTCTTACAGAATAAAGTTTAGTAAAAACATGCAGGTGATATTTTGGAATTCTTTTTGCCTCTACAAAAACAAACTACCTTTGTGTTCTTTGGCTTCTCTACGCACAACAGACTTGAACTGCTACAGCCAATCCCATTTCCCAGATAATTCTGGGAACTGCAGTTCTGTGAGACATCAATAACAGAGAATTTTCAGCACCCACTCTCGCCAAAATACAATTCCCCAGGATTTTTGTAAAGAGATTTGAGGACTAAAGAAGATCTGATACTGCTCTCTCTGCTACAGCAGCCAACCCCAAAGGGCTTCCTAATTTATGTGTCTATGGCTTGGCATTTCTTATCACTGAGCCTACACAGCCATTTAAAGCACATTCAATGCCCATTTAAAGCACACGGTGGCTTCCCCCAAATAATCCTGGGAACTATAGTTTGTTAAGGCTGGTGGCAATTGTGTCTCTGTGAGGGGTAAATTATAGTTTCTGGGATTCACATGCTTTAAATGCGCACTGCGCGTGTCATATGTATGGTGCAGATGTGACCATTGAAGAAACCATCTCCAGCCTGGAGCCCTGCAGAAATGGTCGGACTTCAGCTCCCAACAGCCCTGACAAATATGGCCAGGGAAGGTATGAGTTGTATCCCAACTAGATCTGGAGGCACCAGGTTGGGGAAGCCTCTGTTAAAGCAACATAATTTTGGGCTCTAGGATGGATTCAGTTAGAAATGTCATACGCAAAGAGTTTAATGGAATTGTCAGCAGTGGTATCTAAAACACAGCAACAACAACAGTTTACCATGTACAATCTCTGCAGGCAGACAAGATTGGCAGATCTCATCATGCAATGCAAACATTTGGTCCTCTTGCACATTTGTTTCGGAATATTTGTGATGACCCAATAATGTGTGTTGGGAATAAGCTGGTGATTTGGAAGGGCTGTGTGGAAGCTAGACTACGTGTATTACTGGATTTAATAGATGAGGAAAACATGATGTTACTGCCTTCTGAATAACTTAAAAATAAATTCCAGTTTAAGCCAGAATATAGCTGGCATTATATTCACTTATATGACATCTGTTAATGGAACTATCTAGACCAGATGCCTGCCTTGTCTATAGGATTATACTTATTGAAATCAGCACCAGCTACAAATAATAATAAGAAAAAGTATATGATGTGTATATGTGTGAGAGAGAGGGAGAGGGGGAGAGAAAGAGGGAGGGTTAAAATAAGGATGAAGAAAATGGGTCTTCCAGATGTTGTTGGATTCCAACTCCCAAGCCAGCATGGCTAATAGTCAGCAGGTGATCCCAGCATGTTCAGACTCCTTCCTCTGCAACATCTACACTGGATTGGTCATGTCCACAGAATGGAAGATGGCAAGACCCCAAAGGACATGTTCTACAGGGAGCTGGCTTCAGGCAGACCAACTCTGCATTATAAAGATGGCTGCAAACAAGGCGTGAAGGCTGGCAACATTAACGCTGCCATATGGGAATCTCTTGCAGAGGACCACAGTGCCTGGAGACAGGCAGTCAGGTTGTGCATTCATAGCAGAGACCAGAGGAGGAATGACCGCTGGGATGAGTGCAGAGAGAAGAAAGGCCATGGTGCATCTGCAGCAGCACAACCAGGTGCCTTCATCTGCATCAGCTGCACTAAAATAGGCCTCTCCCGTATTGGTCTCTACAGCCACAGCAGGCACTGCAACCGTCCAACAGCTTGACTTCACCCCCAATGGCACACTCCTCCATGGACTCCTGAGACAGATGGATGACAACAAAGATGAGCATCAAGCAACATCTAAATGTCTGGAGGTTCCCCAGTCTGGCTTTAAAGCATTTGCAAGACCCAGCATTATATCACATAATATAGGAAATGAAACTAGAATGAGTATTGCAATTAGTTAATTTGTTTATTCTATTATTTGTGAGTGAGAAATATTTAGCCTTCCAATTTACAATAAATCTCCCAGGACACAGCAGCTGCATAGCTGCAGAGGGGCAGGGACCAAAGTTCTTGAGCTTTTCTTGGGAAATCAAAGTTTTTGAGTTTTTTGTTTTTTTAAGGAAATAAAGGTTGCCACATTAGGGATTACTGTGCCACCCTACAGACCCCCATGGCTGCCCCGGCTCCCTATGCTACTGCCAGGACAGCTTACAAAGATAGCTAAAACTCTACTCTTGCAATCGTATGAAAGGGGTCAGTAGAATTAAAGAAATCCAATGTCAGATTTGAAATTAAAATGTTAAAAGGGCAGGGCAAATAAAAACATATTTACCTGTTACTGAGGAGACAGGAGGCTGAGCACCAGGCAAGCCTCTTTAGGAAGAGAGTTCCACCAATGGGGAATCACCACCCAAAATGCCTTTGCCCATAGCTTCCTCCATGGAAGCCCCCTCCTGTGGGTCCCTCTTGCAGCAGACTTAACCACAGGGACTGCTACTCCTCAGGTGGGTGCTGTGCCCTCCATGCAGTGTCCAGACAAACACCATTTTAAATTCCCTATGATGTCCCAAAGGGATGCTGTGCCAGGCACTCTGGAACATTGTGGGAAATGTAAAATGGCAACTCGCCGTGGTGCACAGTTTGAAGGCCAAGGTCCTCTCTTACGGCTTTTCTGCCCGGTAACTGGCATCCCACCTCTGACCAAACAGGGTTGCTTTTATCAGTCATCACTATTAGTTGTAGAAGCCATTGCGACTTCTGGTATCACTCTTGTGAAGAGGTCTGGTACTGCAGAGCAAGGTCTTTGGCATTCCCTTCCCCCACCCCAGACAGGTCATTGGATCTTCTCATGGGAAAAGGGAATTGGAGAAAAGCCTATTCAATCAGGCACAGAACAGAAGCTGCAGTGCTAAATATGGAGCCCACAATCCCCCCACCCCCGCCTTTCCACTCCGCCCCCCAGCGCAGGCTACTTTGTGCTGATGAATGGAGCTTTGAGCGTCCCCCATGAATACAGCATGGAAGAAGCTGCATATCGCTTTCCACCCCAGGGAGATTCCCTTATCAAGAGCCACTGCGTTTTGTTTGGTTCAGGACAGACAATGGGGTGCACTTACCCTCCCCCCACCCCAACAAGTGTTACGTTATCATTCTTCTACCAAAAGATGTGAGAAAGGTCACTAGCCTAGATGACTTTTTAAAACAAAAACAACAAAAAATAGGCAGATTCGTAAGGAGATAGATCTATAGATGCAGAGCAAATATCACCGGTCATGTTCTCAGCTGCAACAGGGGCCACCAGTCTACCACCCAAAAGGCCTTGTCCTGTCTACAAATTCACACTTTGTTTTCGCAGTGGCCAACTAAGGGCAATAGCTATTTACCAGCTCACATGTGAAAGGCTGGCATTGCAAGTGCATTCAAAGCCAGAACAATCACCACAAACTAGGTCTTTAAATAAATAAAGCTGGAAGGGCAGTGGGGAAAACACTGGAATACAATGGCTTGGCAGCGACATCATCTGGACACACTATGGTAACTGAAAGAAGGGATGATAACAACTCCAGGGGAGCCAGCTAGTGCTGGAGCAGCCAAGCAAAGCAGGCTACCTGTGGCTGGAAAAACTTCGGATTAATTCACAGCAGATTAGTGCATCACGTGGCTTCTCCACCCTGCATCTGGGGTTGGTTCTTGGTCACAGGAAACTGGAGACAGGGCAAGATGGTAAAGAGTTTGACCCAATCTGGCAGAAATGAAGTTCTTATTTGGGGTTCTGGCACCAGGGGCTGCATCTCTCTGCAGATGGCAGGCAGTGAGCAAGGCTCTGTATCATCTCCAGCCAAAGAGCCTTGTCTCAGTTGGACCTCACACAGTATTATTGGGGATGAACAATCAAGGGCAAGAAATTTACGCTCCTAGAGTCTAAGAGAGAGAGTTGGCAGGAAGGTAAGAACAGATATACACACTGCACTACCAAGTTCTTTCTCAAGGGGATGGGAGGAAGCAATTCTAAGACCTTATAAAAGTATGCAAATCTATCTCATTTGGATAGATTTGGTGATTTAAGCTGTCAACCGCTTAAAATATTTGTTTTTGTCTACCTTTGACCAACTAAGTTTAAATCAGTTTACCTATCACCAAAACCTCAGCACAGATGCCGTTTTTAGAATGCAAACTCATGTGAGTAAACTTGAGGATGCTGCAAAGCATGACATCACACATCCAACTCCTCTTCTGTAGTGTCTGCTAGAACTTTCTTCTTGGGATGTTTCAACAGCCAATGAGGTGAAGCGGTGGATGTGGTGTTTGATGCAGAACTAGAGCATTGTGACACAACAGGTTAAGTTCTAATAGGTCCCAGGGGCTGGTATGAAGATATATTAAGCAGCCCCTTTGCTGAAGCTTAGCAGGGCTGCATCTGGTCAGTGAGGATGGGTCAGGAATTCTCTGTATGGTACTTTGAGTTCTACCCTCGGAAAAAGGTAAGGGATGTGTAACAGACAACAAAAGAAACCACCATAAAGCAAAACTAGCTGCCATTGTTAGAAAGGACCATCTTTAATATCTTCTTTTTTCATTTCCTTCTACAGTAACTCACCAGAAGCAAAATGGCTTCAGAAATAAGCATTTGTGCCCTCTAAACTCCTTGCCCTTCTCTGGTCAAAATCAGGACTCACTGATTCATCAAGGATGGGGGTGGGAGACTTTTTCAGACTGAGGGCCACTTTTCCTTCTGGGCAGCCTTCTGTGGGCCACATGCCAGTGGTCAGTGGAGCCAGAGAAACCAATGCTGGACAAGGGAAAGACCAAAAGGGTTTGCCGAGTTCTGAAATCCCACCTGCTGAGCGCCATACAGTGGCGGAGGAAGCCACTCGGGCACCCGGGGCAGCGTGCCCAGGGGCTGCGCAAGCCGTCCATATGGGCGGGGCACATCACAGGGCCTCCGGAGTCTGCCTGCCTCCTCCCACTCAGCCACCCTACAGCAGGGAGGCAGTGGGCCTACGTAGGCGGAGCCGACGCACCCAAGCCACCGCTTCTCTCCCAGGTATTCATTATACTATCCATACACAAATATGATGCATAGGAATGTGTGAACTTCCTTTAGCTGCCTTTGCAAGTGTTAACACACACACACACACACACACACACACACACTTCCAAAGCAGTTGTGGCACTGAGAAGTGTCATTCAGAGCAGGCACTGAACATGTCAGACATTAAATTGTAGAGATAAGTTTGAAGGTATTTGTGGCCAATACCGGGGACTTACGGCAGCAGGGGCAGAGGAAGGGGGAGGTGGGGGCGGGCTGCCCCATGTGTCACCACTGAGGGGGGTGACAAAATGCCAGGCAGCACTCACCACGGGGCCTGCAGAGTGCCCAATCTGCCACCCCTGTCCTTCCACTATGTCTCCCACGTACCGTACTTCTACAAGGCAGTTTATTGTGGACCCCGCGCTGCTCATACATGGCAAATTTTGCACAATACCCACACAGCACAGTCCTCATCAAAATGACACCCCATATTATTTTATGATTTAATCCAGAATGCACCATTTCTATGGAAAATCCGATGTGTAAGAAAGGCCCACGCATTGTTGCGGGTTGCTTTGGACATGTTTTCATGTAAATGTGTTTATATTATAATATAATATAATATACCCCATGCGTATGCTTGGAGATCAAGCAACTAAGAAGTTAAACTACAAATGATAATGATGGTAATTAGGATTATCAGGGTTAAAGGAGGAGTTGTCAGTTGGCATTTTGTGGATGTTGCGAAAAAACTTGCATGCATGAACATCAACTTAAAGAATAGCACATGTTATTGCAGCATAAGCTCTCATGGACTCAAGTCCACTTCATGAGATGCACTTTTCTTCAGAGTGTTTCTTCAAGTCATAGCACTGGCACAGTGGCATGGCATGGGTTGCAGGCACCTGGGGCAGGTAAGCTGCTGCCACAGGACCACCCTCCCTTCAGAGCCAAACGGGGACATGCTGTGCCGCCTGCCCACCCACACAGTGGGGAGCCCAGCCAGCCAATGCAGCCCTTGGCAAATGAACCCCCTGACATCCATGGAGAGGACTGGGGTCACCCCCTGCCCACTTCCCTCCATTTGTGCCTGCTCACTGTGGGCCTGGGCTGCTCCTGCTGCCATCTGGAGAGCTTGGTGTGCCAAGCACAGAGTGAGCAAGCACTGACCAGGTGGCCATTTTGCAAGGGGACCAGCCTTGGTGTGGCCTGGAACCCCCGACAGCTGGCAGGCAGCAGACAGTGAAAGACAGGGAACAGGGGACAGGGTCTGCCAGGACATGCCTGGGCAGCAGCGGCAGCTACCCAACGGGCTGCTCTGCCACCTTCCCTGGGGCAGGATGTGGAAGCCAATGCCTTTGTGGATGCACCTGGTTGTACCCCTTCAGAATTTTGCACCCAGGGCCACGATCCCATCTCTCCCCCCCCCCCCCCCGCAGTGGCACGGCCTTCTACTGTGTGCCTGTTTTTGTTGTGGCTGATTTGCTTTGGCCAGTTGCAATTGATGAATGCTACTCTTGGCTTTAATCTGTTAATTAAATAAGCAACTGTATTTGTAAACCGTCCTGGGATCACAGATGACAAGCAGTGGTACAGAAATCAAATCAATAAACATAGCCTGCTGATTTCAGTGTGGGTGGCTTACACTGAAGTAAACTGCCTTATTTCATATCTGAGAAGTTTGCAGCTGATGTTACTGCCCCTGGTTACTTTCCTCCCTCCTATTTTCTGTAACAATGTGCTCTATGGGGCACAAGAATGCATTTGCCTGGCACCTCTCGGCACCCTCTGCCAAAACACAGCTTGGCCTCGAAGCAGCCGAAGCAGCTGTAATGTGTGGCAGCAACAGCTGATCTCCATTTTATGACTAGTAACCCCAGTTACAATCCATGATTTTTCGGTCTGCCTGGAGCTATTTATAGCCGCTCCAAATAGGAAAAGAAGAGGGGCATGAGGAGGAGGCTGCGAAGAACATGTGCAGCTGTTTGCTCCCCTTTCCTGTCGCAGCCCCTGGAGGGGAGATTCAAATATTCCAACAAAACAGGAAGGGGGGGGGTGAATGAGGAACAGCTGCTAAAGGGGAGGGAAGAAATGCGCCCTATAGGGAAAGCCAGCAGACTTCAGGAAATAGACAGCGGTCCACAGATGCTTTAAAAAAATAAAAATAAAAAGAGACTTTATTAGGATTCCACCTAGGGATTTAGGGGAGAGCCAGCCAGAGCCTCCACACCCTGATGCTAAAAGGGGGGCTTCCAACACTACAGTTCTATAATTCTATGAAATCACACTAAGCTGGAAATGGATGGACTTTGCAAGCTAAACAGAGACTCAGCAGGGAGAGGCAGCTTGGCTCTGATGGCTTCATTCTCTCCACCCTTGCATTACAACCATGCTCACCCCCACCCCACAGACCCCAAAGGAAAAATGGTTTCCCACAGTGTCCGCTTGGGTGTGTTTCATAAAGGCCATACCAGAGTTCCAGAAATTTTCTTTTTCTTTTAATTATGCCTTAGGAAATGGGCCAGGGCAGAGCACTAGATCTCCCTCATTGGATTTCTACTGGTGAATAGTACAACAGCTAGTCTTACCCATGGCATATTGTGAAGCATTCGTTTCGAGTTAGGGTTGCCAACTTTTCTACCTGTTGCTGTAGCTGGGCATTTAGCCTCAGCTAAGCAAGCAGATATCAGCAGGGGAAAATCTGCAATGCTCCCCTGCTGATGTCTGTACATCTTAAGTGGCTGTTTAAAGGTACAGGAACAAGCCTGGTTGGTTCAGTGCCTCCCCCCCCCCCCGCCGCCAATTAGTTGGCACCTCTATTTTGCCCAGTGCTTCTCATCTGTATCTTTTCTACCCCACCATTTCAAAAGTACCCAGCGTATTTTGAGTGTGTTTCTTCTCAATGACTTTCCTTTCTCTCTTATTCAGCTTCTGCTTTCCCTGTGCTGCTGCCTTTTTGACTGCCCCCCCAACAAATAAAACAACCCACAAAATCTTCTGAGTTGTGCACTGACATGTGCAAGGTGACCATGTCTGTGTGCAGATGGAGAGGGAAACCTGGGGAGTTGGTTGGATGGTTCCTGCAGAGCCAGAGCCACCAGGAGACACCCCCCCCCCCCACTGTCTGATGGCTGGGATGGGGAATCCGGAGTCCTCCAAATGTTGTTGAACTACAACTCCGATCATCCCTGACCATTAGCCATGCTGGCTGGGGCTGATAGGAGTTGGAAGCCCCCCCCCCAAAAAAAAATCTGGAGAGCCACAAATTCTGTGAGCTTCCCCCATTTTCATATTGTTTAACATCTACATGAAACCACTAGAAGTTATTCAGCCTTCACAACTCACCAACCAAGCCTCTGTGCAGAGGAAGTTCTGTAACTTTGGTGGCGCAAAAGAAAAAACCTGTCTCGGGTCCCAGCCCATCATTCCTCTGATGGTGGTGGGATGCATAGTAGAGCCTCTGATGTTGAGTACAATGGGTGGACAGGATTCAGTGGGAAGAGGGACTCCTTCAAACATCCTGGTCCCTAAACCATTTGGTGCTTTTAAGGTCAGAACCAGCACTTGGAATTGTGTCTGGAAATGAGTTAGAAGCTGGTGCAGATGACACCAGGTTGTGGCTAAGGCTGATGGAACAAGACACAAAGTGGGCTCTAGAAACCAACCTGGCCACCCCATTACGTTGTGGAAAATGCTTCTCACGCTTCCTACATTTCTGTGTCTCAAGCTGCCATTAAAAGTTTTGAAACAGGGCCAGGAAAATAGTGGCAATTCTTGCTCACCCACACAAAGAGAGGTGAAGGAATCTGAAGGTTTCAGGCTAGGATGACCACTTGACCAATTCCAGAATCTCAAACAGTGGTCATAGGCATAGGAAGGCTGCAATGCTGAACCTACTTGCTGAGGGGCAAATTTCCCTGATGTTAGTGGGACATATTTCTAAGCAACCGTGCCTAGGATTGCGTTGCCAGGCCCTTCTGCCTCACAGCATCCCTGGCAAATCTCCCAATCTGGGAAGAAAAGAAGAAGCAGGCCAGTGGGTAGAGCTGATACAGATCTCCAAAATCATGAATGGTGGGGAGAATGTCGACAGAGAGGAACGTTTCTCATTGCAAACAACAGGCAGGGCCAGCATCAAAGCTTGGTCTGGTTGGGCACCTGCCAAGGGCCCATATCTGAGCAGGGGCACCATTGAGAAGACTCAGCCTACTGGACTTGGTCTTCTCATTGCAACCTCTTGTTCACTTGCCCCTCACTCTTGCTAACAAACAACAGCTGGGGGGAGGAGCTAACCACTGGACCTGCTTGCTCAGAGCTGCACCTGGCAAGAAGTGGTGAGGGAGAGGAGCAGCAACAGCTAGCAACAATGGCAAGAAGGGGATAGGCTGATGGATGGGACCTGCTGAGGGTGTCTTGCCTAAAGCCTCCCCCCCAACCCCCCGTCCCCCAAAGCAGGACTTCATAGGCAGGAGATCAGGCTTCACCAGTCATGAAACTGTGGAGCTGGAAGGGACCCAAAGGGTCATCTTCCAACCCCCTGCAAAACAGCCCCACCCATGCTGGCTGGAGTTGATGAGAGTTGTAGTCCAGAATATCTAGAGGGCACCAGGTTGGCAAAAGATGCAGTTGATTCAGAAGAAGAAACAAACAAGTACTTATTTGCACTTTGCATTTTATCTTTTGTTTTTATGCTGTGAACTGCCCTGAGATCGTTGGATGAAGGGCGGTGTACAAATTTAAGAAATAAAATAACTAAATAAATAATTAGCTTGTAGAATTTTCTGCCACAAGATTTTCTGATCACCTCTAGCCCAGATGGCTTTAACAAAATAAAACAAAAATTGGACAAAATGCTGGAGGATAATTCTATTCCAAATGGGTCTTTGTTGCTCAAAGGTAGTATACCTGATACCAAATGCTGAGGACAAAGCATAGGGAAGGGCTGTTTGCCTTGGTGCCCTGTCTGTGGGCTTTATCTGGTCAGCCAAGATTGGAAAGAGGCTTCTGGGCTAGATGGCCCCACAACTGATCCAACAGCTTTGTTCTTGCGTTTTTAACCCTGACCTGTAGTCCCTGCAGTGTACAGCCTACATCCCTTACCTGCTTGGTGCTGTGAGGGTTAAAGGAAAGCAATGAGGCAGGAAGCAGTTACATGGAGGAGAAAGTGCAAAAACCCCAAGCCTGCCTCTCACTTTTCCCGCTCTGCACCTGCAGTGTGGGTGCTTATCAGATCAAAAGGCAAACCACGTTTCCCATGTCACTCGCAGGTGCAGCGCCTGCCTGCTGGCGCCTCCTTTCTCTCCAGGCTTTTGACACCTGAAGTCTGCTCCTGCAGAAGGGTGGCTTGTCCGTTTAACATCTCATTTTTGAGACAACCAGAGAATAAAGGTCCAGGTTGAAGGTGGCAGCAGGGGTGGGGTTGGGGAGGGAGGAGGAGGGAGAGGGAAGCAAGCAAACGTTGAGCTCTTTAATTTCAAGTAAGAAGTGCCTTAAATCAGAGAGTGTCCCTGCAGATGTTTTAAAGCACAATGATGAGAACAGTTGAAAACAACTTACAGTCACAGAAAGAAGGTGCATCCTAAAACCTCTCTCCCCCCCCCCCCCCGGTGTCAAAAGCCAGAGTAAAGAGGAGGCCTTGGCCGCAGCCAGGCTGCCAGTGGTATGAATGATAGAACTCGTAATCCAACAACATCTAGAGAGCCACAGGATCCCCATCCCCAATGGCTATGCCAGTGAGCTGAGCTCTAGAATTATGGTTGCTAACTCTTAAACTAAAAAATAGCTAAGGAGAGGGACTTGTGGCTGCTGGGAAGGTCTGTGGGCAAAGGCCAGAGAGCCCTGATCATTCATTCATTTTTGCAAGTCTGGGGCAGAGTGGCCAGAGCATTGGACAGGGCTCAAATTCCCACTTAGCTATGAAGCTCACTGAGCCACTTGCTCCTTCTGAGCCCAACCTACCTCGCGGGGCTGCTGTTGCAGCAATAAGATGGGGAGGAGGGAGCTTGAACTCCCTGTGGTAGATTATTGGGGTGAGCTTGAGAGAGGAACCCAGTTCACAAGCTGCCATACATTTGGAGTACATTTAAAGCACATACCACTCTCCCATAGAATCCCAGGAACCATAGCTTGTGAAGGGTTCTAGGAACTGTGGCACTGTGAGGGGCACAATTCTTTGGGGGAAGCAATGTGCTTTAAATGTCTGGTGTGGCTCTGGTTGGTAGATAATGCAATGGGAGTGAGGGTTTGACTGAAAAACAAAGTAGATCTAAAAAGCCTGATATTTGCCTGTCCCTGGGTCTAGGATGCCAACAAATCCCTCCAGAGAGACCTATTCTTTAACTGGTGCATTCAATACTACCTGTCCAAAATTCTCAGTGTGGTAGCTATGAAACCCTGTGAAATATTGTGCGCCTTGCCAGTTGAAACTAAATGGCTGATTCATATCTACTGGTGGATGGATGTTGAGGAAAGGAAGGAGATACGACATTTCAACCTGCCAGTTCTTCAAAAGGAGTGATGCCACTGAATGAGTTGCCAGGGAGTCAAACTGGGGTGCTTGAGGGGGTATACTCTGAGAAAGAGCAACAACTTTCTCTCCTGCATCCCATCTCTTCCCCACTCCAGTCTCTTCCCAGGGGCGGGAGAATGCAACACCTTATCATGGGTGTAGCCAGGGGGTGCGGGGGGGGGGGAGCAGCTGCCCCACTAAATCAAATAAATAAATAAAAACACTGAACTCACTGAACTCAGTTGTGTCACAGATAACTTGGTTTTGCCCCCCCCCACAATAAAGCCTGACACCCCCTAAAATAATTCCTGGCTTCACCCAGGCACCTTATGTATTTCTTTTTCACTGTGGGAAGAACATCCATGAATTTTGGCTTTGGGACAGCTATAGATATATTTCAGAAGCCAGGAGAGAGAAGGTGTGAAGGGACCAGGCAGAATGACAGGCCTGGGGAGAAATGAGGCTTTTGTACAAACAAAAGCTATGGCTTGACATCGATGTCTTCTTCATTGCTACAGCTCATATCCTCTCCCTCCAAACTCTGGTGCATCAATCAAAATTGGGAAGGATAAAAGAGAAGCACGGCAGAGACTCAGTGTCTGCTCAGCTTTCTCCATTGATGAACCATGGCTTGGCTGCTTTGGGAACACCACTAGATTGTGACTTTGGGACTCACCTCAGGCAGCAGCGCTGAGTGGTTTGCCAGTGCCCGGGGGGGCACATGGGCACTGGGGGGGGCACAGAGTGCAGGGTGAATGGAGCCTGCTGTGCCACCCCAGCGCTTGCTGCCGCCGTCAGAGCAATCCCCCACCGGAGCAGAGTGGACTTCCTGACTCCTCTCTAGCATTGAGACTGTGTGCACCATCAGACTTATTTCCTGGTATGCTGAGGTTCAGGACATCAAGCATGCAATGGGGAAATAGTGTGCCTACTGCCCCATATATGGCTTGGCTTTCACTGTGTTGACCTCTGTAATGATGTAAGCTCTGGGTCTTGCCTTCTGACCATATGATGCTCAAAACACCCCAGTTTCAGACCTCCCCAGCACTCTGCTGAGTAATTGTGGCATCTTGGTTAACATGTGTCCTAAATTTCAACTTTCTGGGTCAGGCAGATGGTCTGAAAAAATAATTGACATACACTTCAGTTCCTTTGTTTTGAGTAATGATGAATAATAGTGTTGAGCAGCAAACTCCCTTCAACCCAGAATCGAATTGGCAATTATGAATACTTGGAGTATGAAATAATTGTCTGGGGTTTTTGCACACCGCCCTCCTTTTCCAGGGTGTATGTGAGTCCCTACAATGCTGCCTGGGGCATGTAGCATGGAGGCAGCATGTTGCCTAGATGACTAGGCTGAGGATCACTCATTGAGCATCCAAGTCGTAAAATGGGAGGCTCATCCCCACCCCCTGCAAAATGAATGACATAAGCGAGCCTCTGTGAAGCTAATGCACAATAATCTTTTCCTTGGTGGAGTAAGCAAGATTTGGGACATCTCCCTGACCCACATACTCAGGGCTTTGGCTCAGCGGTAGGCAACCTAAGGCCCGTGGGCTGGATGTGGCCCATTCACCTTCTCAATCCGGCCCGCGGATGGTGCGGGAATCAGCGTGTTTTGACATGAGTAGAATGTGTCCTTTTATTTAAAATGCATCTCTGGGTTATTTGTGGGGCATAGGAATTCGTTCATTTTTTCCCTTCAAAACATAGTGAACCGGCCCACGGCTGAAAAAGGTTGCTGACCCCTGCTTTGGCCTGATCTGCTCAGTTGTGGGTCTTTTGCTTAGCTAGGGCAGGACCCCACCTGAACAGCTACCTATCCTAGGGTTGGGATTTAGCAATCTTCACGGTTGGGGCTGGAGTAAAAAGTGGGTGGGGCCAAAGGTGGGCAGGGGCAGCCCTGTCTTTCCATTTATTTCTCCTTCCTGCCCTCTTTGCTAACCCCCTTCCCTGCTCCTTGTCACCCAAATGAAACCAAGCAGACGGCTCTATGCACCCGCGGATCCCTTCATGATTCAATTGCTTGCACGCTGGCAAAGCATGACCTGGGGCCATACCTGATTTTTCCTCCCCAAATTTTGAATTTCCTTGACCAACTGCAACACACTGTTCTGTGAGTGACATACTCCTTTTTAAAAGTTCTAACTTAAGAAAATAAGAAGAGCCCTGCTGTGTCAGGCCAGGCATTGATCTCGTGCACCATCCTGCCCTCGCAGTGCTTGGAGGAAGCCCACAAGCAGGACAGGAGTGCAACAACCCTCTCTCCAGTTGGGGTTCCCAACAAATGTTAGTCAAATCAACTACAATTTAATCTAGGGTAGGGGTTAAATCACTCAACTTGTAATTGGTATTGTAAGGGTGATTTAGTGGAGTGTTTGGCTAGAACCGGAGAGGACTTGGGTTCAAATCCCTCCTCTGGCATGAAGCTTTTTCACCTGTTGTTTTCCAGCCAAGGATGATGTGGCATCCAGCCAGGTAAGGTGAGAAAAGGCCCACCCTTTGTCTGTATGGCAACAGGGAACCCTCTTTGGACATGTAAATGGAAGCTCTTAACTGGCCAGTATCTTACAAAGAGACTTGTCTGATCCATTCAGTGTAGATTCTAACCTCAAAGGCCTGGAAGGGATCCACAGATGTCATCCTGACTGACCCCGCAAACCAAAACAATTATATACATGCCTATTTTAAAATAAGCCCCATCAACTGCAGCGCTCCCAAGTGAGTGAGTATAGGATTGTAGCCTTGGGCTAGTCACTATCTGCCATTCTGCATCCTTGGTGGAAAGTGGAGGGATATAAATATAATAAAATACATAAATGATAAAACAAACTCTCTTCTGAGCATTGGTAGAGCATGAACCTCTTCATCTCAGGGTTGTGGATTCAAGCCCTGTTGGGCAAAGAGATTCCTGCGTTGCAATGGGGGGAGGGGGGCTAGACCAGATTACCCTTGGGGTCCCTTCCAAATCTACAATTCTGTGATGCTACATAGGAGCAATGGCTACCAGCTTTAGCGTGCTTACTAGGATAAATGCACATAGGTTTGCAATATCCTTGTCTTAAAGTACAAGCAGAGAAAGAGTTCCAAGGCAAGGGAGCTCTCCTCTGAATGTACCTTGCCATTAGGTGCTGGGGAAATTTGTGTTCTGGGCCTGCTCTTTTTAAAAAGGTTTTGGCCTCGTTGCTGCGTTTGAGGGAAACACCCACACAATTGACAAACTTTTCTAGTAATCCTATATTCTCTGAGTATCACACTTTTAGGTAGTGTGGCAGTGTGCCAACAATTCTGAGACATCCATATGTGATCAAGAGAGCCCGAAGGCTTGGGAAAGTGCTCTGTGTGGCTGCACTGCATCTTTTAGGGCTTCATTGACTGGGCAGCGTGGGCTTTCTGAGCAATTCCACAAATAGCTCTGTCAAAATCCCTCTGCTCCTGACACAAATGTTGCCTTTTTATTATTATTGGCAGGACGTCTTCTGATTGCTTCTGCACTGGATACTTTCTGGGTAATAACAGCACTCTGTTTACTCACTTTTTACAGAATGTCTTCACTACATCATTAACAACCCCCCCCCCCTGCACTTGTATTGCCGTCCCCAGGTTCAGCTTCCATTTTTGTTCAGTGGGTTTCAGTGGGCCTTACTCCCAGGTAAGGGTGTGGGGGGGCTATGGTGTTTAATCTAGGCAGCCAGGGCTCCTCCGGATGACAAGATCTTTTTACACCAGGTCAGTGAGGACCACTTGCTTTTTTAAATTCTCCCATACATACAGAACTCCCTGTGCACTTTTGGACTGTATCTGTTGATTTCCCCCTCTGTGACAAATAACTGGGGTTTTTATAATACATGGAAGATGGATCTCCCTCAGGAGATTCTGGACTCTCCTTCCTTAGAGGTTTCTAAGCAGAGGTTGAATGGCCATCTGTCTTGGATGCTTTAGCTGAGTTTCGTACATTGCAGGGGTTGCACTAGGAAGATGAGCCTTGGGGCCCCTTCCAGCTCCGTGATTCTATGTTTTTCTGCTTCAACAATATTTCACTATGGTCCTAGCATTTTAAGTAATTGTATTTTGTATAAATTATTAAAATTATAAATAAAACGTTCTATTTACAAAAAAACAAAACATTTATATAGCTACCTTTCTACTGGTAGGATGGGGGGAGCATGAACGTAGCCAGGATTTTTGTTAGGGAGGGCAGAACCTCATATTTGTATTGATTTTTATTGATTTGTACTTATGGGGAGGAGCTGCCCCCCTTAGGGCCCCACCCATGAGGGGCCCAGGAAGGAAACAAGGTCAGAAGAGGGCCATGGTCGGAAAAAGGTTAGGAAACACTGGATTACCCTGTGGATCTTGTTCTGTCTATTCATGCCAGTAGCTCATTGGTGTGGGTGGCACCCGTACTGATTGGATCTTGCGCTCATGTGATTGGATGCATGAATGCTGTATGCTCCCAATAGGATTGTGGCATACCAGACCAATATTCCTTGCATTGCATGATACACTGGTCTCCTTTATAAAAACAACACCAAAACGAATGATTAAATTTTATTTTGGCTCCACTTGCCACACCTACTGTACTTGTTTGAGACCATTTCAGGCATCTGATGATGTATAGAATCATAGAATCATAGAATCATAGAATCATAGAGTTGGAAGAGACCACAAGGGCCATCGAGTCCAACCCCCTGCCAAGCAGGAAACACCATCAGAGCACTCCTGACATATGGTTGTCAAGCCTCTGCTTAAAGACCTCCAAAGAAGGAGACTCCACCACACTCCTTGGCAGCAAATTCCACTGTCGAACAGCTCTTACTGTCAGGAAGTTCTTCCTAATGTTTAGGTGGAATCTTCTTTCTTGTAGTTTGGATCCATTGCTCCGTGTCCACTTCTCTGGAGCAGCAGAAAACAACCTTTCTCCCTCCTCTATGTGACATCCTTTTATATATTTGAACATGGCTATCATATCACCCCTTAACCTCCTCTTCTCCAGGCTAAACATGCCCAGCTCCCTTAGCCGTTCCTCATAAGGCATCGTTTCCAGGCCTTTGACCATTTTGGTTGCCCTCCTCTGGACACGTTCCAGTTTGTCAGTGTCCTTCTTGAACTGTGGTGCCCAGAACTGGACACATTACTCCAGGTGAGGTCTGACCAGAGCAGAATACAGTGGCACTATTACTTCCCTTGATCTAGATGCTATACTCCTATTGATGCAGCCCAGAATTGCTTTGGCTTTTTTAGCTGTCGCGTCACACTGTTGGCTCATGTCAAGTTTGTGGTCAACCAAGACTCCTAGATCCTTTTCACATGTACTGCTCTCAAGCCAGGTGTCCCCCATCTTGTATTTGTGCCTCTCATTTTTTTGCCCAAGTGCAATACTTTACATTTCTCCCTGTTAAAATTCATCTTGTTTGTTTTGGCCCAGTTCTCTAATCTGTCAAGGTCGTTTTGAAGTGTGATCCTGTCCTCTGGGGTGTTAGCCACCCCTCCCAGTTTGGTGTCATCTGCAAATTTGATCAGGATGCCCTTGAGTCCATCATCCAAGTCGTTGATAAAGATGTTGAATAAGACCGGGCCCAAGACAGAACCCTGTGGCACCCCACTAGTCACTCTTCTCCAGGATGAAGAGGAACCATTGATGAGCACCCTTTGGGTTCGGTCAGTCAGCCAGTTACAAATCCACTGAGTAGCATAGTCAAGACCGCATTTTACCAGCTTCTTTACAAGAATATCATGGGGCACCTTGTCAAATGCCTTGCTAAAATCAAGGTAGGCTACATCCACTGCGTTCCCTTCATCTACCAGGCTTGTAATTCTGTCAAAAAACAAGATCAGGTTAGTCTGACATGACTTATTTTTCAAAAATCCATGCTGACTGTTGGTGATCACAGCATTCCTTTCTAGGTGCTCACAGACTGTTTGCTTAATGATCTGCATGTAGGGTTGTCATATTTCAAAAAGTGAAAATTTGAGCTAGTTTTAAGGAAATTCTCCAAAATGTAGACTCCTGACATCAGCTGCCATATGTCTGGATTTCCCCAGACATTTTTAGCTATTTCTGCCCAGACACAGCTTCCAACTGCAGTATTCCAGCTGTGTCTGGGAAATTCCGGGCGTATGGCAACCCCAGATAATGTGGTCTCTGGCTCACAGAAGCTTATGTGACACAATGCACTTGCTGCATCATGCAACTTCTTGTTGATTCAGGGTGGGTGGAAGGTGGACGAGTCCAGCTCTACTGTTTGGCAGGGTGATGTGACTCTCTCTCTCTCTCTCTCTCTCTCTCTCTCTCTCGTCATGGCTCTTTATTGGTTTCATTAGATAGTACATCTATTCCATTCATCATCAACAAATATCATAGAGTACAGAAAAGAAAAAATCATGAAGAAACACCCCTACTTATTAAAAATATTCAACACCATGTATCTCTGTAACTTTAAATCATAAAGAAATAATCGCCTATTTTCTAATGTGACTTCTGTCTACCTCACTGCAGGACCCTTCTTTCTTTTTTAACTGCATCCTTTTTCACCTTATCAGTCACCATCATCAAATAAAATACATTATCCATCTTTCATGCAATTTGCAAAAATTAAACAAAGCACACTAAAGATTTTATTTGGGAGCAATGTTTTTTTAAGTACCCTCTATAGTGCTCCCACTCATTTATAAACTTTTCGTTTATTTGATTCCTGATTATTTCTGTCATCTTTGCAAGTTCCAAATACTCAAAGAGTTTTATCTGCCATTCTCCTCTCGTTGGAGTTTTCTCTCCCTTCCAATCTTAAGCAATCTACATTCTTGCTGCTGTTGTGTATAGGAATACCCTTCTCTTATTGCAAATGTTTGTTTGAATTTTTTTTAACTTCCTCACCACATGTGTTACATTGTTCCCTCAGCCTGTTTGCACCTCCAGCATATGTTTAAATTTGTTTTGTACATTTTTGGCAATTTTCTGGGGGTCATGTGCCATCTATAAAACATTTTCATGAAGTTTACCTTCAGTGGGTAACAAACAGTAAACTTTAGAAATTTAGTCCATAATTTTTCCCAAGCATCCATCTGAATGGTATACCCAAAATCCTTTGACCATTTAATCGTTCCTTCCTTGACTTCTTCCTCTTTTACTTCCCAATCTAGCAGGAGTCTATACATTTTAGATAATAGTTTCCTTTTATTTTGTATTAAGTCTTTTCGCAACCTTAAAACTTCTGTCGCAAATCTTTTTTCTTCTATCTAATTTTAAAATGTCATTTATTTGATGGTACTGCAGCCAATCCATGAAACGATGTCTTATTTCTTCAAACTTTCTCTATTTTAATTGGTTTTCTTCCTCCTCTAATATTTCTTTATAGGTTGCCCAGTTTCCCCCCATATGGTTCCTCTTTACTGAAATGGCCTCTAGGGGGATAACCACCAGGGTGTTTTTTGTTCTAATAGGTTTTTATACCTATCCCACACTGTATATAATGATTTCCTTATTATATGATTCAGAAAGCTCTGTGTACTTTGACTTTTTCATAGCCTATGTAAGCATGCCATCCAAATCTATTGTCCCATCCCTCCAAATTCAATAAATCTGTATTCTGCAAGATTATCCACTCTTTTATCCAACATAGGCAGGATGCTTCATAGTAAAGTTTCAAGTCTGGCAATGCAAAGCCCCCCACTATCCTTAATATCAATTAATAATTTATGCTTTATCCTGGGTTTTCCCCCCTGCCAAATAAAATTTGATAAATCCCTCTGTCATTCCTTGTGACCCCCGCAATGCAGCTGATTTTGAGTATGCAAAAAGGGTTGCAAATAGATCGTTCTTTATTTAATTTTCTCCCTTTTACTCCCTGGGACAGTTGCTTGTGAGGTTTTCTGCCTCAGATGCCCCAGGCCTTGGGTACTGGGCAGCTTCAGCTGAACAGTTTTCTTGACTCTGGGAAGCTCTTTTGGTTGAACTCTCTGATTTAGAGGCCTGATCGGAGCAAATAACTGTGGTGTAGTTTGTGATGATAAAAGTGGCAGCTAATGTATGTGGGATTATAGGGGAACATATGAGCTGGCAAGGAGGATCACAATTTATTTGGCTGGCTCGTTTCGAGAGAATGCCGGAGCCTTAAGTGAATTTCCATTCCTGGGTTTGGGGATTTGGCACAAGGACACAGGAGGATTGCAGCAGCCCTTACTCAGGCTTTGCATAGTTGCTTTGTGGTATTATGATGATGATGATGATGATTATTCCATTTGTGTGTATAAGTGAATCCAGAAAAGAAATGGGACTTAGCAAAGCCAGGGATTGTTGAGATCCTGGGCCACAAAGACAGGAATCTCAGATAAACCATTGACACACAGAGCATTTCCCTTTTCTGGATAGGACTTTGGCCAAACAAAACAAAAAACTCTTTTCCCCCAGCAGGAAGTCTCGCTCAAAGGCTTTTGTTGTGACCAAGTGTAGATGCTGATCACAGACAAACTGGGGAGTCTGATTTGGAGAGAATTATCTCTACACAGAATCCTTTGCCCTGTTCAGCTGTTCAGAGATGTTCTATTTTACCCCAACATTTGGGTCAGGGGCCATAGCTGAATTATTATGGAGCAGATGATACTTTCATGCAGAAGGTCCCAGACTCAGCCCCTGGCGTCTCTAGCAAGAAGGATCAGGTAGCAGGTGCTGGGGGAAACCTCCCTGTCTGCACAATACCCTGGAGAGCAGCTGCCAGTCAGAGTAGGACAATACAGGGCTAGACAGACTGATGGCATAAAGCAGCTTCTTAAATTTCCAACAGGGATGTAATCTGAGCTAGGGTTTCCCAGGGCTGGACTCTAGATAGAGCCTGATCAGTTTTACCCTACCCTTCTTTCTTAAAACAATAAACATTTCAGTTGCCAAAGCTAAAGGTCACTCCACTGAAAGAGCCACTGTGAGCTCTCTCTATTTTTAAAATTTTTTTGCAAAGTCTTCTTTGCCCATAGTTGTTCCGACTGAACAACTGAAAGGAAAGAAGGCAGTTTGAAAGAAGGCTGGCTTGCGCTCATCTGAGGCTCACCTCTGGCCCTACTGGCTGGGATGTGGGACTGCTGGCCCTCTAGATGTTTGTTGGACTAAAGCTCCCATATTCCTGACCATTGGCCAGGCTGGCTGGGGCTGATGGGAGCTGGAGCCCAAGAACGCCTTCAGGGTCACAGACTCTTTCTCCTGGGCTGCTCTAAAGCCTGTGGAACAAAATAAATGTGTGTACATGGCGAAAAGGAAAGCAAAGGCTTTCTCAAAGCACAGCAAGTCTTTTCCAAACTACATTCTAATTTCCGCTGGAGGAGGGATCTTTTTTATATATCATTAGCGCTGTTCTGATCCTTCTGCAAACAAAAGGGAAAAGACACATTCAGAACCTGGGAATTGGTGGGGGTGGAAATCGGGGGGGGGGGGGGCTGCTGTCTCTTCTCCCTTACTCCAAAGTGAGCCCAATTAAAAGACTTTGGGCAGCATCTGTGAAAGGGGTTTGCCAGTCTGATCTTTTTATTATTTCATTGATATCCCATGTGAAGCTCATCCCACACAACCACTGACCCAGTGAAATTCATGTGGGAGTGGGGAGGCTTGAACCCCAGTCTCCCAGGTCAAAGTCTAACCCCTCCCACACTGATCTGTCCTAGGATTATCAACCTTTGCCAGCCCAGCTACTTGAGATCCTTTGAAGATGAGGAGACCCAGATTCAAATCCTCACTCCATCATGAAGCTCACTGGGTGACCTTGGGCCTGCTGCACTCCCAGTCTAACCTGCCTCACAGGGCTGCTGTGATGATAAAATAGGGGAGGAGAGCCATGTATGCCTGGGTGAGGAAGCTTGATGCCCCCCAGATGTTGTTCCTTAGAGGAAAGGCAAGATGTAAGTACAATAAATCAATAAATCAATCAATCAATCAATCAATCAATCAATAATAATAATTTATTATTTATATCCCGCCCATCTGGCTGAGTTTCCCCAGCCACTCTGGGCGGCTTCCAATCAAGTGTTAAAAACAATACAGCATTAAATATTAAAAACTTCCCTAAACAGGGAAGTAAGTGGAAGAGCATTGTGTGTGTGGTCATATCACACGCTCAAGTTTGTGTGTTCACTGACACAGTCCTCTTGAAATGCGTGTGTTTGTGTGTGCACATATTTCTATCTTGGCTCATGCTGTCCTGCGTAGCTGTCTGGGTGTGTCGATGGCTTACAGCCGTCTGTGGTCTGCAGCTCACTTTGCAAGGCCGGGATGATACCCAATTGCCCACAAGGCCCGGAGGATCTGGTTTCTAGTCATGCTCTGAGCTGGATTAGTTAATCACAAACACTGCAAATCCCCGTGCACTTTCCCACGGCCTGATCTTGGGGCTCATCCCAGCTCTGCTTCATAATCTGCAGCATCACTCCCTCTTTCCAGAAGCAAAGGTGGGGGGGGGGGGAAATGCACCATAAACCAGCCTGAGCTGCAGATGAAGCCTGACAGGAAGCAGAGGTTCCCTGGGCAAGGGCAGGAGCCCAGCAGCAGAGCAGCAGCTTTGCATGCTGAAGGTCCCAGGTTCAATCTCCGGCATCTCCAGGTAGGGCTGTGAGAGTCTTCCTGTCTGAAACTATGGAGAACAGCTGCCAGTCAGTGTAGACAATACTGAGCTAGGGGAACCAACTGTCTGATTTGGAATAAGCCAGTTTCCTATGTCCCCATGTTCAGTCCAGAGATGAAAAGGTCCCGCCTTAAGAGTGGGGTATGTACAGTGATTTTAGACTCTGGACTTCCTGGCCTTATGAAGGGGACATGTTAAATGGTGTTTTCCAGGGCCCTCTTACTCATTCTACTCAGGGGTCCCCCAGATCTCTGCTCCAAAGTCCTTCTCTGATACGGCCACTGGGAACCTCAGGGCGAAACAGTGGGACATCCCAATGCACACATCTGAGAAAGTCGTCTTTTTGAATGCATGAGGATTGGGCCATTGCTTCACCTAGAAATGCTCAGCTCGGCTCTGACCAGGGAACACACATACTCCACCAGTAAGCGGCAGCTCCTCCCTGGCCTCTGTTGTTATAAACCAGATCATCAGTAAGAACCATTTTTGCATGTAACCAAGCCCAGAGGGAGGGCTGGCTCCCTCAGGCATACTGCAGTCTCCCTCTGGTCCCAAGCCCCACCACTGTGCAGTTTTAGGGTTGCACGACCACTGTGGCTGCCCGGCTGCAATGCTGCAGTGCTGCAGAATGGAGTGTGAGTGGAGGAGGGCTCCAAATTTTAGCATCGCACAAGGTGCCACTGAAATCTGAGAGCCCAAACTTTGCCACCAACCGCCCCTAGGGAAAAGGCAGATGAGCAAGTTTGCAGGAGCAGCTGCTGATCCTTCTGCTCATGCCCACGGCTTTCTGGCGCTCGGAGTGGGTGAGCAAGTGGCAGGAGGAGCAGGGACAGGAGTTACAGGATCCAAGCGCTCAGCAGCAGGGGCCCCTTCCAAAGCGATGGACTGTGGCAGCTGCCTGGTGAGACTGACTCTGCAAGCTCCATTTGACCCTCTTGTCCATTAAGAAGAAAACTTACTCCCGCCTTCCAGGACTCCAGAGTTCTGGCTACTGAGTGCAAAGGCCCTGGGATGAGTGACAGGCATGTAGCACTTGAGAGCTAAACTGTAATAGTTGTGGAAGTCTTTATGCCAGGAGGGGAGGACTTGTGGCCCTCCAGATTTTGCTGGTCTCCAAATTTGGAAACAATTACCAGCTGCAATTAGACAGACACCTTGCATCAGGATGTTTAGGCATTTACTTGAAGACTTTTTAAAGAAAGCTTTTCATGACATGTGGCCCATTTATTTATGGGATATTGATTTTACACCTATAGAAATAGTTTCCTTGTTTTTAGACTTCATACAGATGGCTTTATTGTGTTTAGAGTTTGTTAGGGGGGTTTTCTGACTTGGTTGTCAAACTTAATCTGTTCTGGGAGTCCGTTCGACTCCCGGAATGGTTCAAAAACCAAGGTGCGTCTTCCGATTGGCTGCAGGATCTTCCTGAACTCAATCAGAAGCCATGGAAGCCACACTGGACATTCAGCTTTCAAAAAAGTTCACAAACCAGAACACTCACTTCTGGGTTTGCAGCATCTGGGAGCCAAAATGTCTGAGTACCAAGGCATTTGACAACCAAGGTATGACTGTATTTCATTTTTATCTTGTTGGCCCCTGCTTTAATGACTTCAGGCTGTGAAGCACTTCATAAATTTGAAATATAATGATGGCAGCCTCAGCTCTCACCAGTCCCTGACCAGCAGGTCTACAGACCACGATGGGAGTCGTAGTTGGGCAGCATCTAGTAGGGTGCAGATACCTCTTCTCTGTTTTATGCCCAGTGAACAACATGCTATGGAAAGTGACATACAGTGTCAGGCAGACAGGTCTAAGAGACACATGATCTATCAGATCTGCTGCCACAGCTGTGGAACTTCCTTCCCAGTGTGCCAGGATCTTACTCCTACTCTTTCAAATCAGCAAGTCAACTGATTGATTGATTGATTGATTGATTGATTGATGCATCAATCAAAGGCTTTTTAATTGGCAAAAATATCATAGCTGTTGAGGGATGAAAGCAGGCAACGTGCAAACTCACCCTCTGATGGGAACACTTCATCCATCCCTGCTGATCCATCATATCTAAAAAGGCAAGGGAGGGATTTATTTCTGCCAAGCCATGTTCTCTGCCTGCTTGCCTCACCCCACCCACCAACACTCCACCTTCTTTTTATCACAGCAGTTGGAAGACAGTTGAATGTCTCCTTAATCACAGAGGGTGAGGAAAGCTTTGCTTCTGCAGATAAGGAACCAGGACCCTTTGGAACCTCTTCAAAATCTGCATGTGGACGTGCAAGATGGGGAGGCTGTGCGCCTGACAGACGGCGGACACAAGCAGATATCCAGGAGCTGTGTTTTTGAGGTCAATTTACCGAGTCTCTCTGCCGTTATCTTTGTTTCTGTATTTGTTCCATTTTTTTTTAGCAGGGGGGTAGTCTTATCAGCTAATTCCTCCCCATGTTTACCTTACGCTCTTGGCGGAGAAGAGCTCTTTGTGGTTAAAGTAGAGCTGCACCACAGGCAAGCCTTGGCTGAAGAAGGAACATCTCAAGATGGCTACCTGGGAATGTGTGCTGAGCCCTCACAGAAACCTCTGTACTGCAGCTAGTGCATGTAAGGAAGCCGAGGGTCAAAAGTCAATTCCCTAAGGTTTTGGAAGGCTCAATGCATTTGAGAAGCTGTGACCTGAAGCAAGGATCGGGGGAGGGGACGGGACGGACCTGTGGGTCTCCCAGATGTTTTACTCCAACTCCCATCAGCCCCAGCCAGCATGGCCCAATGGTTAGGGGTGCTGGGAGTTTTAGTTTAGCCACATCTAGAGGGTCCCCGCACCTGCTGTACTGGAGTAAAATATGTTCCAGAGTCCTCTGGCACAGGGCCCTAACAATTTATCAGGCTATTTGTCCATTCAGCCCATCTTGCCTTTTCTGTCTTGCAGAGGCTCTCCACAAAGATCTTAAGCAGAGGTTGTTCACATCACCATCTACCTGAGACCCTTTTGAAAACACACACCTGAGAATAGCAGGGACTGAACCCGGGCTCTTTAGCAAGGACTGGAAAGCTTATGATTACTCATAGTGCTAAGATCCCTTTCCCAAGCAGACTACAGTGGTACCTCGGGTTACATACGCTTCAGGTTACAGACACTTCAGGTTACAGACTCCGCTAACCCAGAAATATTACCTCGGGTTAAGTACTTTGCTTCAGGATGAGAACAGAAATTGGGCTCCGGCGGCGCAGCAGCAGCAGGAAGCCCCATTAGCTAAAGTGGCGCTTCAGGTTAAGAACAGTTTCAGGTTAAGAACGGACCTCTGGAACGAATTAAGTACTTAACCCGAGGTACCGCTGTATACTGTAACTCATCAACGTCAGTGCCCTGGGAAGATGGAGGAGGTTAATCTGTCTCCAGCCAGAAGCGGGACTAAGGGATCATCCAGACTTCCTTTTGTGCCACATTTCTAGGTGCAGGTCCAGCTTTTAAAGCGCCATGTCCTGGCAGTCTCTCTCTCTCTCTCTCTCTCTCTCTCTCTCTCTCTCTCTCTGTGTGTGTGTGTGTGTTCTAGCGCTTTCCCCAGGAAAACGCACGTTTTACTGCTGAATCTGGTTTTTCGCATATTACCGTTTCCTCCGATTCAGTGGTAGATTTTGCTGGGACAAAAAATAAAACTGCTTGAACACAGAGCCTGAAAAGCATGGCAGCAAAGGAAGCCTGGATGAACCCTCAGTTGAGGTGTGCTCTGTTGAGCTTAGGGGATGCAGCTGCTGCTGCGTCCTGAGAACCTGCTTCAGAAGTGGTGCAGGGCAGAAGCTCCGTGCCGCTTCTGAGCTGGGCCCTGTGCTTTCTTTGCACTGGAAAAGCAGCAGTGTGGATGAGCCCTGCAAGAAGCAGCTGGGACAGGAGGTGGAAAGGGAGGGAGAGAGGAAAGAAGGGGCTTCTTTCAGCCTAAGGAGATAAGAGGGGCATGGAAGGGAGAGAGTCCTTGCATCTTCCTGTCCTCTCCTCTAGTGTGCAAACCCATCCTCAGGTTGACCACTTCTAGGGAGTCTTCACAGTGGCATAGCTCAATAATTTTAGACTGGGCAGAATGGTCTTACCCTGGTGGGTGGGTGCTCTTTATCCGGTAATGTGTATTACTTCACTTCCTCCAATATGTGGGAAGTCAGTTCTGCTGCATTTGGGGCCCTTTCTGCTTGTTCTGGGACCCCAGACCTCTGTTGTTGGTGCTGGTTGAACCATTTTGTTGAAGAGACTGAGTTTCAGGCTCCAGACCTTTGCATCCTTTCCTGTCCCTTCAAACAAGGTGGGGCTTGGCAGTGGCGGACCTTCATGCTCTGGCACCGGGGCAGAGAGCAGGAGAAGGGGGGCTGGCGTACATCCTGGGGGCGGGGCGCCCAGCGCGGGGGGGGCAGCCACAATGGCACCCTGCCAGGACCACGCTGTTGGGGGCGGTGCACTCCCCCCGCACTCCTCTTCCTCCGCCAGTGGGGCTTGTCTCTATCTAGCAGGGGCAGAGTAGAGGAGATGCTCTCCTGAACAGGCCTGGGGCAGAACATTGGCAAGCCAATGCAGTGGCCAAGGCATGTTCCTAACCCCAACCCTTCCTAGTCCCATCATGGAGGATAAGGAATCTTGATGGCTCTGCTGTGTGCTTCTGAGTGCCAGTTGCTGGAAACTGCAGGAGGGGAGAGTGACTGTTGCTCTCAGGTCCTGCTTTGTGGCTTCCTATAGGGATCTGGCTGGCCACTGTCAGAAACGTGTGCTGGACTAGATGGACCTTTGGCCTAATCCAGCAGGGCTCTTCTTGTCTTCTTATGCACCACTGGCTCCATGAGGGTGCCTCTGCTCCACCATGTGCTCCACTCCCACCAGTAACAGTGAACTTGCAGGCAATGCACAGAAAGGTCTTTGACAGCCTCTCTCCTCTGACCTGGCCAGCTTCAAAGCCCTCAGCTCCTTTCCCAGCTCTCCGTCTCCCCAAATGCCTCTCGGTTCATGGGAGCTATCTTCTCCCACATCAGACCATTGGTCCATCTAGCTCAGTAGTGACTGAGGAAGAAGATGACAGCAGGACAATCACACTGAAAAGTGAGGGAAGGGACCCCCTTGCACTTCCTCTATAGCATTGTTTCTGTGGCACTCCTTTTTTCTGAACAGCAAATAGGATTCAAAAGGCTTCCGAGATTCTGCCAGGTACTGTCCATGTGCTCTCAAGCATATCAGTGAAATCATAAGGACTAGAAACTTCCTCCATTTTTTTAAAAATCCACCCACACCTGTGCATGAAAGCAGATGTGCCAGGAGGCTGGATTCTGTTGCTGCACCTTTTCTCCACTTGCACAGAATTGTGACACAAACTCAGCCCTGTGGTTTTAATTGTTTGACTTATTCAACCCTCAAATCTTAAGGAGGGACAGAGTGGGCTGGCAAGTTTAGAAAGCTGCTGTTTTTACAAAGATACCAGAGGAGTTGTTTTGGCAAAAACAGAGGGAGTTGAGAGGTGCGGGATTCCATTAATAACCCCCCCCCCAATAATCTAAGCACTGCACATATTCTTAAGCCGGGAATAAATCTGACCTGGAGTGGAAGGATTTTTCAGGTTTGTTGTTCAGAGGTTACAAAGGAAGCACTGAGTCAGACACTTTGCAGACCATCTACATTAAATCTTCAGTCTCTTCCTTTCCTCTGTCTTGGATGCGAATTGTTCCACCAACAGTAACACTGCCCCCATAAGAAATAAGGGAGGGGGAAAGAGATCTTTACTGAAGCCCAAATAAAATAATAATGGTAAAGTAAAACAAAACTGCCATGAGACTCCAGACTTCAGAAGGAAACGAACCCTGAGAAGGCCTCTCCCCCTTCCACTGCAACTGTTTGGGAAAGAGGCAGCGCCACACAGAGCTGTTGTTGCGAGATCAGTGGCTTCCACTTCCCATTTTCTAATTAAAGACTCTTCAGAGAACCAGGGGCGTTGCTAGGTGCTAAAAAAGGACCCAGGGGTGCAGGCCTATGGCACAAATTTGCATCCATTTTGCATATGCTAATTTAAGGATGTCTCTGGGCAAAAGTAGAGGGCAGGTGGCTGAGGACTCCCAGCACTGCCTGCTCGCTACTTTGCACCATGGTCTGTGAGGGATATCAAGAGGCAACAGAGATGTGCCCAGTGCCCAGCTGTCCTGTAAGCATACTTAAAGAGAGAGAGAAATTAAAATAGGAGAGAAAGGGGCAGGAGATCTCGAGCCAAGGATCCCGCGGGGTGAGATGGGGGGAGGAGAGAGATTTGAGTCAGTTCACATTTAAAGCTCTATCAAACGCACAGCCCTTTCAAATCCACATGTTCCAAAATAACACAAGAACCAAAACACAGATACCCTTGGAAATCCAAGTGGAGTAAGCCCACTTGAACACAGTGAGGCTTACTTCTGAGTAGACCAAGGGCTTTTCTGTTGGGACGAGAGGGTGCCAGGCCTGCTAGCTCTTGCAATTCCTAGGACATGATCTATGTTCCACTTCACTTGTATTTTATTCATAGATCCTCTACAATTCTATATGCTTGTAGAACTTTATAACGGGCACAGCATACAACATCCTAAATAACTAAGGCATACCTTCCAACATTTCTCTGGTGAAAATAGGGACATCCTCTTCTGCATCAGGAAGCTTCTCCCACGCTTGATCTCGCCCCACACATAGACGTTATGCACCCATGAACACATAGAACACATAGACATCAATCACATAGAACACATAGACATCAATCACCTTGAGTCAATGACAGGATGTCCTTGCAGGATTGTTGTAAAGAAAAAATGTCTGAGGGAATGAACTGTGTATAACACCTTCCACAGATAAATAGAATAAAATAAAAATTTAGCCTTAAGCTGCCTTGAGTCCCTGTGAGGGGAAAAGGCGGGATATAGTAGCAGTAATAGAAACTGTGAGAAAGCTCAGGAACACACGATAGAAGAAATCCTATTGAACTCAGTGGGATTAGGTTCTGAGTAAAAATGCTTAGAATTGCAGTGTAAGGCTGCCCAGTCTTTACCCAGTTACCTGGGAGTAAGCTCCACTGAATACTGTGGGACTTACTTCTGAGTAGACAGTGTAAGGCTCCATTTTCAATAAAGGAATAAATACTCATTAAAAACGGCTTGCTGCTGAAGCATTGCAGTTCATGGATTTAAAGTGTACTGGTGACCTTTTCCTTTTCCTTCAAAATTACAAGAAGGGCTTCGTATGCCAGATTTACCATTTCCTTCATTGGGTGCAGGGGTTTTATTTTCAGGATAAACAGGACTCCCACCCACCCCACTTTTAATTGTTCTCTGAGATGGGGAGGGGAGGGGAGGAAAAAGGAAAACCGGGACATTCTGGGATCAAATCAGAAACCGGGACATCTTGTGTAATTTCAGGACTGTCCCTGGAAAATCAGGACACTTGGAGGGTATGCTAAGGTTGTGTTGTTGTTTGTAAAAAAGCACGTTTCTAGACCTCATGGTGGCTGCAAGTATGGATTTCACAGGGAGAAGAGAAGTAGGAAGGTTTAAGTGCTCTGTATAGCAGGTGTCTTCTGGAAAAAAAACAGAACAGATGGTGCAAATTTGCATGACTTATGCAGGTCGCATCCTTCTGGGCATGTCATTTGAGTGGCTTTGGGTCATGTGTTTTAAATGCATGTAATGCTCTGCCTGTGCCCACCCAGATGATGCCAATGCTGGTACCTTGGGGAGGATGAGCTTGAGCAACATTTACTGAAACATGATGGGCCATTGGAGTTCATTGAGCCTTTTGCATTGGAGGACAAGAAGATTCACTCAATTAGAGTTTTGATGGTTTCGGAAGTGGCACACTGCCCTCCAGTGGCCAGACAGCTGAACTGAACAAAACAACAACAACATGCAGCTCTCTCTCTCTCTCTCTCTCTCTCTCTCTCTCTCTCGGCTGGGCCAGACGTTTTGCTTCCTGGGAGGCAAAGGTCAAGATGGTGCCCCCTCCCACTCCACATACACATACAGAAGCTGAACAGACTGGCACCTGAATGTTAGTTCCACACTGGTGACAGTTTGGGAGAGTGTCCTCTACAACACATGAGGCAACCAGGGGCGCTTAGTCCTCCCAGGAGGAAAGGGCCAGGGAGGCCTTAGGAGGAAGAGTCCAGGGGATCCTGACCCTGCCCACCAGCACCTGCTGCCTCACCAGGCCTAATGGCAGAGTGTCTCAAGAGACCTCCCCTCTCAACCCCAATTGTACGACATTACAGCAGGATCATGAGCCCTCTCCCTACAGTGTTGGGCAATGTCTTTCGACTTAACCTGAAACAAATACATATTAAAATGAATGTGTAGAATCAAGCAACAAACTACCAGTGTTCTAAATTTCAAACAGTTAGTTTTCCTGAAGTCCACCAGTGGACAATGCAAGGTACCTGACCTCCCTCTAGCCAATATGGTCCTGCATCCTGGGATGGAGAGGGGAAGGGACAATGTGGCAGCAAGGTTGTCGCAGTGGAAATGCTCCAGCAGGAGCTGCATTGGATTGGCTCTGCTGATGTGTTGACCCCATGACAATCTCAGAGTTCGCTGGGAAGAAGGATTAAACCACTCTGGGAATCTGTGAGGGGAACAAGGCTTTCTAATAAGTCTGAGCACCCTTAACAAACTACAGTTCCCAGGATTCTTTTTTTTTAAAAAAAATGATATTTATTGAAGTTTCACATAAAAAGAGACATCTTAATAAGAGATAAGAGAGAGAGAAAAAAAGAAATTTAAAAATAAAAAGAGAAATACACCATACAACATACAAAAGAAAAAGAAAGAAAAAACAGTTAAAAACAATTCCATCTTTTCATCATAACTTTTACTTTAACTTATTTCCCGGACCTCCTCATACCTCCCTCTTTTGTATTCCAATTCAATTTGTTTGTTCAGCAATTCCTTTCCCTCCTTTTTAATACCAATCCTTAATCTTAATATAATATAACATTAAATTTTAACCTATTAAAAGCCAATTTTCCATTTCTTTTAACTTTTTTAATCCTAATCCTTAATCTTGATCTATATATAACTTTAAAGCCTGTACAGCTAGAAGCCACTTCATTTCAATCCAACATCACTCTAACATTCTTTAATTTTGCAATATTTCCGTAAGTAATCTTTGAATTTCTTCCAATCTTCTTCCACCGACTCTTCTCCCTGGTCACGGATTCTGCCAGTCATTTCCGCCAATTCCATATAGTCCATCAATTTCATCTGCCATTCCTCCAGTGTGGGTAGCTCTTGTGTCTTCCAATACTTTGCGATGAGTATTCTTGCTGCTGTTGTAGCATACATAAAGAAAGTTCTGTCCTTTTTCAGCACCAATTGGCCGACTATGCCCAGGAGAAAGGCCTTTGGTTTCTTCAAGAAGGTATATTTAAATACCTTTTTTAGTTCATTATATATCATCTCCCAGAAAGCCTTAATCTTTGGGCACGTCCACCAAAGGTGAAAAAATGTACCTTCAGTTTCTTTACATTTCCAACATTTATTATCGGGCAAATGGTAGATTTTTGCAAGCTTGACTGGGGTTATGTACCACCTGTATATCATTTTCATAATATTCTCTCTTACGGCATTACATGCCGTAAATTTCATACCTGTGGTCCATAACTGTTCCCAGTAAGCAAACATAATGTTGTGTCCAATGTCTTGTGCCCATTTAATCATAATGGATTTCACCGTTTCATCCTGAGTGCTCCATTTCAACAGCAAGTTATACATTCTTGACAAAGTCTTAGTTTTGGGTTCTAACAGTTCTGTTTCTAATTTTGATTTTTCCACCTGGAAGCCAATTTTCTTGTCCAAATTGTATGCCTCCATTATCTGATAATAATGAAGCCAGTCTCGCACTTTGTTTTTAATTTTTCAAAACTCTGCAATTTCAGTCTATCTCCATCTTGTTCCAAAATTTCCCAATATTTCGGCCACTTGACCTCCATATTGAGCTTTTTCAAGGCTTTCACTTCCATTGGTGACAGCCACCTTGGAGTTTTGTTTTCCAATAAATCCTTGTATCTTATCCAAACATTAAACAATGCTTTCCTGACAATGTGATTTTTAAATGCTTTATGTGCTTTAACCTTATCATACCACAGATATGCATGCCATCCAAATACATTGTTAAAACCTTCCAAATCCAAAATGTCAGTGTTTTCAAGAAGCAGCCATTCTTTCAGCCAGCAAAAAGCTGCTGATTCATAATAAAGTTTAAGGTCTGGCAGGGCAAATCCACCTCTTTCCTTTACATCTGTTAGTATTTTAAATTTTATTCTGGGCTTCTTGCCCTGCCAGACAAATCTGGAAATATCTCTCTGCCACCTCTTGAAACAGTACATTTTGTCCACAAATTGCAATGTTTGAAACAGAAATAACATTCTAGGCAATACATTCATTTTTACCGCAGTAATCCGGCCCAGCAGTGAAAGCTTCAAATTTGACCAGATTTCTAAATCTTTTTTCACTTCAGCCCAACATTTTTCATAGTTATCTTTGAATAAATTCCCATTTTTTTCTGTCATATTAATCCCCAGGTATTTGACTTTCTTAGCCACTGTTAAACCTGTCACATTCTGAAACCTTTCTCTCTCCATTGGTGTTAAATTTTTCTCTAAAACCTTAGTTTTTAACTTGTTCAATTTAAATCCTGCAACCTGACCAAATTCTTCAATCAATTATAAAACCCTTTTGGTACTAGATTCTGGCTCCTGTAACGTCAGTACTAAGTCATCTGCAAATGCTCTCAGTTTGTACTGTTTAGTTCCGACTACAGTTCCCAGGATTCTTTAAGGGAAGCCATGACTGTTTAAAGTGGTGCAGTACTGCTTTAAATGCATAGTGCAGATGGGGCCCCTGTGTGGGCAATGTCTACTCTAGTCTTAAAAGTCACAATGATTGCTAAGTTTTCCAGTTGCTATTATGGGGTTGGCCTCAGCACCAAGTTTAGTTCACTGCACATTGCTTATGTCTAAACAGAAACCAGAAGACGCTGCAAGAAACAGTGAAACAGAATGAGGACTAAATGAACTGTGTATAAAATGATAATAATAAAATATGTACATCTGCTTAATTTGAATGACTTTATCCATGGCATAGGAATCCAACTGTCATTGGCTGCCAGAGTCTAGATTAGTGCAGCAGAAATATTTTGTTGGGGGGAAATGATTGATGTATCTGTTTTGTGTTTTGTCCTTAGAGAGTCAGCCTTCTGACTCATCTGAATTTTGTACACCTCCTCAAATGTGGGAATTGCTAGCACTTTTTGTGAATCGTTAGAGTAGATCTGCTCCAACGTGCTCTGCCTGCCTTCTCTGAGTTCCCCAAGTGCACTCCTGGAAAGAGTGGTGAAAGCACCCAGAGCTGAACACTCACAGCCACTGCTGACAGATTTAATTTGGTTATTAGCAGCAATGTTGCTGTTGATGCTGCCAGTGCTGCTGCTGATTCTGCTGGTGATGCTGATGCCACTGCTGCCTGCCAGATATAGCAAGGAGTTGGCAGGTTAGCAAAAAAAAAAGTATTGGAGGGGGGAGTTTGGGCCTGCAGGCTGTCAGTTCACTACCTCTGCTCTAATGCACAAACTCTTAGGCAACTGAAAGAGGGAGCTGTCCTTAAAATATAAAAAAGATGAAACTCACAACTCTGCAACTTCAGGATTATGGAAGGAAAACAGAAAGCCAATGTGTGTGTCTGGCTTTTGCTACTCATATGGAAACAAGATGGTTGCAGGGAGCAGACCAGAGATAGCCAATAGTCCTTCAGATGTTTAACCACAACTCCCACAGCTTGCATGGCCAATAACAGAGGTGTAGCATGGGGGGGGGGCAAGGAGGCCATGGCCCCAGGTGCACATTTTTTAGGGGGCATAATCAGGCACCTCCATGACAGCCATGGACCCCTAGCAGCTGAGGTGTGGCAGCAGGCAGCTTGGTCTAGTGCTCAGGTGAGTGGAGGCAGCAGCAGACGAGCCTATTGGGAGGTGGACTCCATTCACTCTCTCCAGGCACATCCCCTGGTGCATGCAACCCCCTCAGCTGCCCAGTCCAACAAGGGGTGCAACACATGCCCCGCCCTGAGCTCTGGCAACACACACTATGCCACTGGCCAATGGTCAAACATGATGGGAGTTGTAATCCAGAAATCTCTGGAGAACCAAAGCTTCTCCATTCTAGAACTAACTGATGTCTTCTTCTTCTCCTCCTTCTCCTCCAAATTTGTATAACGTTCTTCATCCCAAAACCACATGCCAATTCACAGCATAAAATCTTAATTCTTGTAAGGATAAAAAAGAGAGAGGCTCCCACAAGCCAGTCAAGCTATTGGCTACAATCCTGAAATTCTCAAGACACAGTGAACCATCACTGAGATTTGAAATATTTGTGTTCTCACAGTTCCCACCCCTTCCAAAATTCTGCTTAATTGCTTGAGCAGCACAACTGGTTACCAACCAATTTAACATAGCTCGCATCCTGCCAGATGTTGTGCCTGCTAGGTGCTTTCCCCAGCAGCCAAAACAAACACCAAGAAGCTGATCCAGTCCCAGAGCCACCATTCATGACTAGTGGGCTGCATTTGCCTTGAATAGTCACCGGCTGCTTGCACTGCTGGAATGATGGGTTTCTACAAAAGTAGATTGAAGGTAGGTCCACATTACTGTTACTGTACAATCTGTTTTATATTTTGAATGTTAAACTAAGAAAAGGGCACATGGTTCTCTCCCTCTCCCTCTTACCTTCATAATAACCTTTTGAGGTAGGTTAGGCTGAGAGACAGTGTTTGGTCCAAAGCCTTCATGGTTACAAGAAGATTTGAACCCCAGTCTCCGTGGTCCTACTCCAATGCACTCAGCACTAAAGATAAGGTAAAGGGCCAGGACCCCTGGACAGTTAAGTCCAGTCAAAGGCTACTATGGGGTTGCGCTGAGGGAGCCGGTGTTTGTCCACAGACAGTTTTCTGGGTCATGTGGCCAGCAGGACTAAACCGCTACTGGTGCACGGAGGACTGTGACAAGAGCCAGAGCACACGGAAACACCGTTTACCTTCCCGCTGGAGCAGTACCTATTTATCTAATTGCTTTTGAACTGCTAGGTTGGCAGGAACTGGGACAAAGCAATGGGAGCTCACTTCATCATGGGGATTCGAATCGCCAACCTTCTGATCAGCAAGCCCAAGAGGCTCAGTGGTTTAGACCACAGCGCCACCCGCACCACACTGACTCTCCATAATAATGAAATTTCTGTGTGGCTTGGTCAATGCCTCTGCCCAAATTCTGATGTGCTGGATAAAGTCACTCCATTGTATGATGTTTTACACAATACCCAAGTGAACCCTCATAGTTTTCTTAGCCTGCCTAAGATTGCTATCTGTTTTTCCTTTCTGAGAGAGCTCCTGTATTTTAAACTGGTATGTGACAAATAGCATAGGAATCAACTTCTAGGGGCCAATGGGTCTTGGCCCCCCCCAATAAAATATTTGAGGGGGCCAGGATCCCCCAAAGTTGATGGGCATCATTCAAATGGTGTGTGTGCACCTTGTCGTGTGATTGATTATGTGGGGTGTGGCTTACCTGCCTCTCCATATTTTATTCAAGTCGGCACACCGATTCAAGAGTCAACGTTATTCCTCATGGTTGCTTCTGTCAGCTACGAAAAGACTCATTTGCTATGTGGATAGTATCATTATATGGTTTAATCACTAGGTGGCACTGGACTTTCTTGTAGCTCAGCAGAGGCGGGTGCTTCCTGTGTCTGTTCTGTTCTTCTTAGAGAGGGACAACAAAGTACTTGGCTAGCTTCCTGACTCACATCTTTTAAGCTCTTCCATGACAGTTGCCAAATTTCAGCTTGCTGTACCTCTTTTAAAGGAACACTGAAAGAATAACTGCATTTTAAGAGTTGCTGCCAGGTTTAAAGGGCCCTTTACACTGGTCTAGTTGCCCTTCCTTGTGCTGTCCTGGCTGCCCTTCTCTCTTCCCAATAAGCTTTTCATGTGGCAGTGGCCAGAACAGGTTCCTTTTCTAGTAAAGAATTTTTGGGGTGACTGGGGAGGAAGTCCTGCATCGGCAGATGGGGCCCCAGAGGCTCCCTGAGAAACCTGCTATCTGAGCAGCACCCTAACTTGCCTCTGCAACTTGCTGTTTGCTGTGGGGAGCCCAGACTTCAAACCTGAAGTCCATGTCTAATGGTACCTTGACTGATTGTTTAATTTCGATACCGCTTAATATATTAAAAATACAGAAAACTGAAGCAACAACAGACAACTTAAGCAAAATATTATAAAAAATACAGTTACATATAAAAAGATTATGTTAATACTAAGTTACTAACATATATAAAGCAATGTCAGTTCATTTCCCTTCCAGCACACCCTCCCTCTCAGCCTCCGGCTTCTCACTCAGGGTCCAACAAACTCTCAGCCCACCTACCAAAGTTCTCCTTCACTAGGTCCATTATGTGGACAAGTTCTCTGGTGTTTTGTTTTGCTTTGTTTTAGAAAAATATGCAATAGAAAACTAGCACACAGAACAAAGTACTGGGCTAAAGCCAGAGATGCAAGTATTCTGTTTGCGGGGTAGATGGGAGCAGTAGTTCCAAAGTGGTATCTCCACCTATAGCCCCAAATGGTACAGTTCTCATTCTGCTGCATGTATAGGACCAGCTGAAGAGAGCACTGGAAACTGCAATTCAGTGACAAAGCTGGGAGCATTTTTAACAAATCATTTCCAACAACCCTCAGGATGTTGCAGTCCCAGGTTGTTTTCCAGCGCTTTCCCCACTCTGGAAAGCTCAACCGGAGCAAACGACAACCCACTGAAAGCCTGATGTTTGCTCCAATTATGCACTAAATAACAAGTTTTCATGGGGAAAGCACCACAGCGTAATAATAATAATAATGCAGAGCTTTTAGGCATGGACCAGTACCTGAAAGGAGTGAAGCAAAAGGATAGCCCCAATGTCTCCTCTTACTTTCACAGAGGGTTTGATGTGTGCAATGTAGCCAGTTGCACAAAGTTAAGAGTCACATTCATTACCCTGCCTTTTTGCCACCTACGTTTTGCCTCTGACTAATGCCTCTGACATGTAGTTAAGAGTTGTCTCCATTATAGATGTGGCTTGAAAGGGCTCACCCAAGGACTCCTTCAGAAACAGCACTCACCTGGATTGCCTTTTAAATTTGGTGTCAAATGCAAGCCCTGTTGGGACTGGTTCCCCTTGGGTGCCAAAACTGGAGCTTGCTGTCTTTGTTTGCCGGTGTGGCCTTTTCTGCCTGAGGAGCCCCTCTTCTTCCTTGGGTCACTTGATGGCGTGGAGACCTATCAAGTCAAGCATTGCCTACACTGACTGGCAGGGAACTTCCCCAGCCCTTCTTGGAGATGCCAGTAATTGAGCCTGGGACTTTCTGCACGGAAAGCAGATGCTCCACTCACTGCACTTCCCCAGCCGGAATATAGTTCATGTTCCATGTGTTTTTATGTACTAATACACTATACACTCTACAATATCTTATGTTTTATCTGTCAGATATGTTCACTGCCTTCTATATCATTTGTGGGTTCTGTTGGCTCCCCCTGGGGCTTTGGTGCTCTTTGGGGGACCACCTACTTTGTGCTTGTACAATACAAAGAGCAACACATGCAGCAATGGCCCTGTGCCTCAAGGAATTGGCAACGCATTTTGACAGGGTGGAGGCCGTACCACAGTCTTCCTCAACCCAGAGCTCCCTCTGCATGCTGCTGAACCACAACTAGTAGTTCTACAACTAGTAGCTAGCTGGGAATGGGGGGAGTCCATCAGCACCTGCAACACCCCAAGGTTGCAACACAGGGTGCTTTGCTGTCCCTCTGGAAAAGCTGGTTAACATATGCATGAGAGCCCACAGCATTCTTAAAAGTGAAATGAAGGTGCAAAGGGGGTCCTGGTGGTGCAGCAATAAAACTGCCAGCCATTTGCAAAGCAAAGCAAAGCAGGGTCTGGTAACTGGATGCTGAGATTCCTGCATTGCAGGGCTTGGACTAGATGACCCTTGGAGTCCCCTCCAACTCTACAATTATGTGATTCTAAGAAACACACAGGGATAATGGGTGGGTGTGTCAGAGAAAGGTGTGTTCCTTCCCACAGGTGACTATTTGCATATTTGGAGGCCAGTAGGAGTTGGTCTCCATCAAGCCTGGAGAAGTAGCCCCTGTCAGATTTCAGAAAACGAACAGAGCTAGCAGAGAGAGAGAAGCAACAAGCAGGCCAGCAGCAAACATGGTGGAGGCAATACTGAGGTGGTGTAGCAGGAACCCCCCACCCCAATCATTCAGTTTGTACAAACTTCACACACTCACACTCACACACTACATATGCCACACTTCTGCTATAAATTCATAGAAAAATCAACCATACATCGGATTTGCACTGTTCCATTTTTATTTTACTCCATATGGCAAGGACTATCAAAGGGGGGTGGCTTGGTTCTGGTCAGCCATAATCCCTTCACCATCCCAGCACATCCACAGGAGCCCTGCCCAGTTGCTATGCCAACCCTGATGGTCCTAGACAGAAGACCATCAAGATCACAAAGAACTTGCATATGGGAGTGGATTCAGCATGGACTGAAACAAAGGACAGTGATCAGATCTTCCCTCTGGGGGCAGGAAACTGCCAACTCCCCTTTGTCTCCTGGAAGTGACTCATGGGGAGGGGGAAAGGAGGAACCAGCCAGGTGACAGGACACTCAGGTTACCACCACAACTCCTCCCTCAACCCCTCCTTTCTGTAATGTATGCATGATGTCAACTCCTCCTTTCTGTAATGTATGCATGATGTTTCTGGGGGTGGGCTTGACCTAGAGGATGGGAATTTCAAAAGTTTTTATAAGGTCTTGCACACCATCTTTCTGGGTCTTTCCTCTCTCTTGCAAGTGAGGGGAACACCCTGTTGCAACAGTTCAATAAAGGCCAAGCCTACAGGCTGCTGTTTTGCTCCACGTTATCCTAGTTGGTGTCTTTGTTTTTGTCCAAGGGAGCCCTCGGATTTTTCCGGTAACAGTGGAAACCAGCCGCCCCTCTGCCCCGCTATGAGCAGCCTCTGCAGACCAGATTTCCATCAGCTCTGTATGACTGCATATGCCCATTAGGTGGCAGTATAGAGAATGACAAAGAAGAGAGCTGTAAAACACCAAGGGAACAGGGATCGCACTGCTTATTCTGTAGCGATCATATTCTTCCTAATACGGAAGCAGCTTGCACTTGTTACACTGGGCTGCCCCCCGCTCCGCGCCATGCCATTTTCCTAGGAAGCCTATTGAGGATGCTATGCGCAAGTGCCCCCCCGCGCCCCGCCAGGATCTCTGAGGCTTAGAAAAGTGCCCAGCAGGAGACACCAATCCATATGCAAAGAGGCTGTTGTCTCAGGGCTTCAATAAGGCCTCCCGCTGAGCAGATTCTTTGGGGGAGAATCGGGAGCAGCGAGCGAACAGGACCTTCCCCATGACTAGATCGATTCTGCTATACTAACTTGCCCAGGTATCGATGAATTGCATACAGGTTGAAGGATGGAGCATTCAAGTCAGTTTCAGGAGTTATTCTCTGCCCCTAAAACGGACAAGGTGCTAAAGTGTTCTAACTAGCGGGACCATCTCCGCAGAACGTAGCAGGCTATATAACTAGATTCCGTTTATGTAGATTAGGGCTCGTTTCAAAATTGTAGCATTTTAAAAAAGAAATTAAGGCAGTACTAATCTGAAATTTCTGTGCCAAAAGCAAAATCCAGAACTGTGTGACTGCAAAACCATGTACGAAACTGATGTAACGGAGGATGGGCGCAAAGAGGGAAACGTTGCACTTGTTTGATAGGTTGCCGCAGTAACAGACGAGCTTATGCGTAGAGGATTTCTGGAGAAATTTAACAAGTCATTGCCTTTTATTGCAGGAGGGGGGGAAGGACGCCAACGTGCCAGGTAAATATACTGCAGTTTGGAGACAAGTGACTCGCTCTCTTCTGAGAAAAGTGGGTGGCTCTTAAAAGAGCCTTTGGGTTCTGGGTGGCCTTTCTCAGCAGCAGAGTCCGCTTACTTGGAGCTGGTGTACTTGGTGACAGCCTTGGTGCCCTCCGAGACAGCGTGCTTGGCCAGCTCCCCCGGCAGCAAGAGGCGCACGGCCGTCTGGATCTCCCGGGAGGTGATGGTGGAGCGCTTGTTGTAATGAGCCAAGCGGGAAGCCTCTCCGGCGATGCGCTCGAAGATGTCGTTCACAAAGGAGTTCATGATGCTCATGGCCTTGGAGGAGATGCCGGTGTCGGGGTGGACCTGCTTCAGCACCTTGTAGACGTAGATGGAGTAGCTCTCCTTGCGGCTCTTGCGGCGCTTCTTGTCGCCCTTCTTCTGCGTCTTGGTCACCGCTTTCTTGGAGCCCTTCTTGGGGGCCGGAGCAGACTTGGCTGGCTCGGGCATTGTGCAGGAACCCCCCCTACTTTCTGTACCAGCAAAAAGAAGAAAAAAAGCGAAGTGTGAAGCAGGCTAACTCATCCCAGCCCTGTATTTATAGTCTCCCTATGCAAATGAAGGGTTCCAATGCCGAACGTTTCCATTGGCTGAGGACAGCATTTTGTAGCGCCGCCACTGCGCACGCACATGCAAATTAGAGTACTGCAAGCGCCGGCTTTTCATTGGGCAGCAGCCGCCTCTCCGCTCCCGATTGGCCGCCTTTAGAAATTGTCTTCTTATTGGCTCTGCTGTGCTGGTGACAGATCTGACCAATCCGTAATTGCGCTTCCCTCGGCGAGGAGGGCATAAAAGGCGCCGGGGGTTCTTTTCTTCTTAATTGCAGTTTTATTTTTTGTTGCGGAGCTGAGTCAGTGTCGCCATGTCTGGCCGCGGCAAGCAAGGGGGGAAGGCGAGGGCCAAGGCGAAGTCGCGGTCCTCGCGCGCCGGCCTCCAGTTCCCCGTCGGCCGCGTGCACCGCCTGCTCCGCAAAGGGAACTACGCCGAGCGGGTGGGCGCGGGAGCCCCCGTTTACCTGGCCGCGGTGCTGGAGTATCTCACGGCTGAAATACTGGAGCTGGCGGGCAACGCTGCCCGGGACAACAAGAAAACGAGGATCATTCCCCGTCACCTCCAGCTGGCGGTTCGCAACGATGAAGAATTGAACAAGCTGCTGGGAGGAGTCACTATTGCCCAGGGGGGAGTCTTGCCCAATATCCAGGCTGTTCTGCTCCCCAAGAAGACAGAGAGCCACAAGCCCAAAGGCAAATGAGGAAGAAGCGGGCTCTTTCACCTAACAAAACCTAAAACACCTGTGCATCACAAAAAGGCTCTTTTAAGAGCCACCCACAAATATCAAAAAAGGCTGAAAAAATCACTGCTAGTGAAAATGCGTTCGTAATGAAGTACTCCCCCCCCCCCCCCGCAAAAAAGGGAAAGGAGCTTTTGAGTCTTTGGGGGATGCATATAACGCGTGTTTTAACGGAAGGGAGTCAGTAACTTTTTGCTTCGCTGCACATGATCTGCAGTATGATTTGGAAACGGGAGGTAAAAGAGCACTGACGTCTGTCAGCTACAAAGTATAAACCTAAGTGGCAGAAAGTTTGGTACCTAAAGCTACTTTGTGACAGCAATACAACTCTTTGTTGAAAACATGGATGGCCCTTAAAAGGGCCTTTCGAGTACTTTTTTGGTAACTGCTAATGCTACTGCGGCATCACCTAATTTTAGCCGCCGAAACCGTACAGAGTGCGGCCCTGGCGCTTCAAGGCATAGACCACATCCATGGCAGTCACGGTCTTCCTCTTGGCGTGCTCCGTGTAAGTCACGGCATCGCGGATGACATTCTCCAGGAAAACCTTCAGCACGCCCCGGGTCTCCTCGTAGATCAGCCCAGAGATGCGCTTGACTCCTCCACGGCGAGCCAAGCGGCGAATCGCAGGCTTCGTGATGCCCTGGATGTTATCGCGCAGCACCTTGCGGTGGCGCTTGGCGCCCCCTTTCCCAAGCCCCTTCCCCCCTTTACCTCGACCCGACATCTTAGAGCCTCAAAGACCTTGCGAATGAGAGCGACAGGCAGCAGTTTCACTTTATATAGTCTGAAAGCCGACCTGAAGGAAAACTTTGAGCGGGGGAACGAGCGGGGAGTGAACGCAGGAGCGTATACTGTTACAACAACGCTATAGGGCAATGCTAAGTCAGCTTCTCCAATAAAACGCAGCAGTGTTTCAAAACAGCCAGTATTAAATTAGCTGCAACAATTTAACTGAGAGAGCGCGCTGGCGCCTTCCCTGCTTCAGAGCAGGCGTAGAAAGGTATTCTTATGACGTGCAATTCACTCGCTTCCCCTTTATTTCTGTGTAGGGTCCCTGAAAACTCTGACCACTACCAGGACAATGGTACAATCTGAGCACATGAAAGCTGTTTTGTAATGTCATCCCATTGGACCATCAAGTGTTGGAATATAACTCAGCTTGCGCTTGAGGTTGATGTACTGTACCTACATGAGAGGGTATGGGCAACTCTAGTCTGTCCTTTAAGCCATGATGACCTTTCTTCAGGCTTGAGGGATACTCTTAAGGTTGCTTCCCTCATTACCTAATTCCTTTCTTCTTCATCCTCACGTCAGTAGGACATCTTTGTGTTTTTCCTGCAGAGATGTGACACCAAGCATGGCTTGCTGCATTCCCAAACTGAGGTAGTTAGAACTAGGAAATTTCCTGTAAAACATGTATTTCCTGCACTAAACATAGCCCTGCCCCCAACGCCAAGGTAAAGCGGGCTCTTCCACCCACGTTCTAGTGTAAAGTTCAACTTCTGCTGATGGAACTTAATCGTCCACATGGACAGAGCTCCGCCTCCTCATTCAGAGTAATGTTGGCGATCTAAATAAATAATTAAAAATTTGTCCAGTAGCACCTATTTTATTTATTTCGACTGCGTCAGACCAACACGGCTACCTACCTGAATCTAGAACCATGGTTGGCGATCTTGTTTGAATGTGACCCCCTATTTCCCAGGACACATACACTCTCAATCAGGTTCTACATGCTGGATCTGCTTGCACACACTGCAGACCTTTGCCCCCCAAGCTAAGCTCCAGCGGCGTGGAGCGGAGCTTCATCAGGCACGTCTATTCCGCACATCTCTGGGACCTGCGTGTTAAGGGCGAGAAATAAAATAAACAATGATTATGATAATAATTCAAAGGATACATCTATAATTGGCCAGCTGTCCACGAGACCAAAGCTGACACATTAACTCTCCGGCGAAATTTAGCGCGCACACGACAGAAACAAGCTCTTCCTTATGGCATAATTTAAATTATATCATTCATCAAAGCACACCTCACGCATTAGAAACACTCCCACCCCTTCTGTCAGACGACTGTAAGAAGAAGCCGCGGAAGATCGGAGTGGGGAGCTGTTATGCCCCAACTTTTCGATTGGCTGAGGGCTCTTAAGCTCATCCCCACTTGGGCGCGCGCATGCAAATAATGAGCCTGTGATTTCCCACTTCCAATTGGATGAACGCGTCGTCTCCCCCTCAGGTTGGTGCAGACTTAGAAATCTTTTTCCCAATTGGTTTATTTTTTTTTTACTCCATCTCCAGCCAATCAGAAGCGTCATTTTCGAGCCTCTCGGAAGCTATAAAAGCCCCTCGCCGGCTTTGCCTTCCGTAGTTGGCTCGCTTTCTTGGGAGAGGAAGTTGTGTGGATTCAGCGACGACAGCATGTCTGGCCGCGGCAAGCAGGGAGGCAAGGCGAGGGCCAAGGCCAAGTCGCGCTCTTCGCGGGCCGGCCTGCAGTTCCCCGTGGGCCGCGTGCACCGCCTGCTGCGCAAGGGCAACTACGCCGAGCGGGTGGGCGCCGGCGCGCCCGTCTACTTGGCGGCCGTGCTCGAGTACCTGACGGCCGAGATCCTCGAGCTGGCCGGCAACGCCGCTCGCGACAACAAGAAGACCCGCATCATCCCCCGCCACCTGCAGCTGGCCATCCGCAACGACGAGGAGCTCAACAAGCTGCTCGGCAAAGTCACCATCGCCCAGGGCGGCGTCCTGCCCAACATCCAAGCCGTCCTCTTGCCCAAGAAGACCGAGAGCCACAAGGCCAAAGGGAAGTGAAGCTGCTCTTCTGGGCCTCGCAGTTCTCCTTGAAACTGAACCAAAGGCTCTTTTCAGAGCCATCCACACCTTCCAGAAAAGAGCTGGCAATCGCCGGATTGCTGTTGCCTCAATCCTTTCTTGCTTTCCCCTTTGCTACAGTTTGTAGAAATGGAGGCCATGTGACATGTGTGCTTTCAAATCATTTCTCATTAGTTTTATTTGTTGACGATATTCATGGTTATCAAAGTTGGCAATTATGTCTTTGATCTACTGCACTTAGTTTAAATTACAGCTGTATTGTCATGGTTCCTATTTGGATAAGCTCTTGAACCTGACAAACTAAACCAAAACATAATGTGTGGTGCTGGGAATGTGATAGCTTGTCAGTTTGGACATTACTTGTTGCAGTCAACTTCACCACGTGAAGCACCCGAACACTTGGCTGCCAACCTGTCTCAAAGTGTAAAAACAGAAGAATAAGCACTATAAATCTAGATTAAGGTAGGTAGCCGTGATGGTCTGATGCAGCCAAAATAAATAAATAAAAATTGTCCGGTAGCAACTTAGAGACCAACTTAAGTTTGTTCCGGGTATAAGTTTTTGTGTGTATGCATTTCAGGTATCTGAAGAAGTGTGCATGCACACGAAAGCTTATACCCAGACCAGAACAAACTTACTGTAGTTGGTCTCTAAAGCACGATAAAGATTTTCTAAAAGTTGCTTGTCATTAAAAACTAGGTATGGAGTTTGCTGTCGGTGAGCAATTCTTCCCCTAGCACAGGCGTTACTTTCCTGCCATTGGGGGACCTTTTGCCAATTTTCTAGCTGGAGAATAACTTGGGGAAAGCGAAATGGAAGATGAAAAAACATGCTTGGGCTGCAGCCACCTCTGTGTTGGCAGGGATCCTTCATGTCCTGGAGCATGGTCTGATTCCTGCCTCCATATAATGTTTTCAACTAGCTGTTGAACCACTTTGTTGAATATATGCATATTTTGGCAGATCCCCCTTCCTTTGGAGGATCTAGTCTGACAGCACCCTTCTGAGTGCTCTTGTCTTAGTATACAAATTACCGTATACTGCTGCAAGATCATCACATGGATGATGTATTTACAACAATTATATCCTATGCTTAGGCTTTGAGTCATAAATTTTAATAAGCTGGAAAGGCAAAGAACTTAGAGGTGCACCCCACCCCACCCCACCCCGTAACCAGATATATGGCAGAGGGCCTTGGGGAGATGAGTAAAGCACAAAAGAGCAGAATACTACCGTATTTTACCTTATGTCAGGGAAGGTGCTGTTTATGGTGTAGCCTAGAGAGGCCTTTTGAATTAATGTGACATGATGCACATATCTAAGTTGAGTCCAAAATTCAGCTGTGGATATGGGCAATAGATTTGGGAAGAAGTGCAATAACGGTATTCCACCAAGTGACCTGTTGGAGCCTTTAGGACGTAGCAAACTTATTTTACTGCTTTGTTGTGGGGACTGGCCAGATGGGAATTGGGGAAAAAGAAGCACAAACAATAATTTATCAAGCAAAAGAATCCATTTTAAAAATCAGAGCTGCTCTTCAAAACACAGGAAGAAAAATTGAGAAAAAACACACAGCATAAAGTCAGCAATTGTGCAAATAATACTTGTTGTTTGTTTACATTTAGTGGTATGGGTAGCAGATGCAAGAGGAAGCCAAAGGCTCTTGCCCTGTCCAAATGGGTGTGGCAGAAGAGGTGCAGGGATGGAAGAGGCTGCACTATCAGAAAACTGCCCCTCTCCTTGACAACTCTTTTGTCCATCAACTTTGGTCACCATACTCTGCTTCTCTGCTGCCATGGATGCCTTTAAGCCCTCAGATATACATTTTGGAGGTCCATACTTAACCGGAAGCAACACTTTAGCTAATGGGGCCTCCTGCTGCTGCCACATGATTTCTGTTCTCATCCTGAGGCAAAGTTCTTAACCCGAGGTACTATTTCTGGGTTAGCAGAGTCTGTAACCTGAAGCGTATGTAACCTGAAGCGTATGTAACCCGAGGTACCACTGTATAGCATTTGCAGATGAACAGAGGCTCTAACGGGAAGTGAATGAATGGAGAATCCCCACCTCCCATGTATCTGTGGATTTTTACACACATTCAAAAGTTGCCAATTCAGCCAAAGTACACCCTGCCATCAGTAGAGAATAAATACCATTTAGATTTGCAGAACTGGCACTTGCAAAGTGTTTCCTCTGCACTTGCAGGAAACCAGTTACTTAGTGTGGCAGCTCCTACACTCTGGAACTCACTGCCCATTGACATTAGGCAGACGCTGTCTTTGTATTGTTTTCAGTGCCTGCTAAGAACCTTTCAGTTTCAGCAAGACTATCTAGCCATGTGATTTTAGCATGTGATTTTTAAAGTATAACAGCTGTGCAGTTATTGGTTTTAATTTTTAGTGTAACTTGTTTCTAATGATTTTAACAATATTTTAATGAAGAATTTCAACTTTCTTTTGTTCAATCTAATCTAGCTTTCCCAAATCTCATGCTCTCTGGACGTTCTGGATGGCAGCTCCGGTTATCTGCAGCTGTCTTGTCTGCACATAAAGTGGATTCAAGCACTGACAAAACCATTGTACTGACATGGGGAAACTAACTTTTGAAATTGAACTAAACAATTTGTTTTCTAAAAATGATGTTTTATAACTTGTCTCATCACGTATTTGAATATGATCTACTGCACCCTCTGGAGAGTTTATTTCAGATGTGCATCAGAAGGTAGAGGCCCAGTTAACAATGCAAGATCAGTCTTAAAGTGAGCTTCTAGTTGTGTACTACTGGCCTAAGAATCCAAAGAGACCTGGAACAGGAGGATTGTTAATGGAAAAATCCGAGGGCTCCCTTGGACAAAAACAAAGACACCAACAAGGATTACTTGGAGCAAAACAGCAGCCTGTAGGCTTGGCCTTTATTGATCTGTTGCAACAGGGTGCTCCCCTCACCTGCAGGAGAGAGGAGGGACCCAGAAAAATGGCATGCAAGGCCTTATAAAGACATTTGAAATTGCCACCCTGTAGATCAAGACCACCCCCAGAAACATCATACATACATGACAGAAGGGGTGTAACCTAAGACCACTCCTCAGATACATCACACCTACATCACAGAAAAGGCAGTCTAAAACAGAACATTTGAATATTGTTTTTCTCCTGTTTTTGTTTATCTCCTGTCTGGCAGGTTACTTGATTGGATTGCCTGGGGAGCCTGGCCATTCTTTTGTAGTGATAAATACTTAGTTCCTGGGCCAGGTCACAGGCTCACACCCTATTCAAACACAGACATACCCTTAAGACAGGATTTGTGAAGGAAAAGACAATGGGGAGGCTTTTCCAGTTTGACCTTGCAGAGAAAACATTTGCTCAGTTTAGGAATCAAAATGGTTCCAGGTTGGCCTTCCTGTGCTGATATATGTATGTGCTTGGTTGGTACACTTATGAACATTACCATATATCTAAGACCATAAAATTCCTATCAGGCTGAAACATAAAGCTCTCTACTGCATGTGCACACACATTAACAGCAAAAGCAATCTCTCTAAGGTGCTACTGGACAATTTTTTTATTTATCCAGATAGAGAGTGAGATAGTAATTTTCTACCCACAAATCTCAGCAAATGAGAGTAGTTAGGAAAGTACTGAATTGATATCTTAGGGTGTTTATGCAATGGCATGTATTCAGTTGAAGAGTAGCAGAAAAGGGTTCCAAATGTACCGGTACTCAAGCAGCCAGTATCTGCCAGCTTCCACCATCTTATTTGGTTTCAAAACAGTAATTATATCCTAGCCGACAATTATTCAGTCCCATGTGCTTCTCCGTTTAACACAGGATGTCTCTAATGGGATGTTTTTGATCTTGATTTCTGGTTCTTCAAACACAAGAAATGCAAAGAGCAAGGAAAGAGGCTGTTGCAAATTCTCTGGTTTAAAGAGCAGTTCCTTTCTCAAGCTACCAAGCAAGCAAGCCTTGGCCTAAGTGGAAATTTAGTGACCAAAAAAAGTAGACTGAAGTGGCCCTCTGGGTCTTCTAGTTGCCAGAGCAGCCTCCAGATTTCCAAAGCCTTAGGTGCCCACATCACAGACTGAAGCAGTGGTTTGTCTTTGAAATAAATAATTCCTTCCCCAAGGGAGTCCCTGCCTCATAAGGAGGACTGGGACCTCGGAAGGAGAGCGGTTGTGGATGCTTCTTACCCGTCGGGAAATGTCAGAGACCACACCAGGATTGGTGAAAAAGCAAAGTCTGATCTTTATTGAAAGAATAGGAAAAAACCAAAACTGTTGCAACAGGGTCCCCCCTCACGTCATAAAAACGGAGTGAGAACCTCGAACAAAGGGCTGCTTTGACTCTTATACCTTTTGGTTTCCAAACAGATCAATAACAGCAGAGGTGGCGGGAAGCGACCTGAGTGGGGAGAAGAGGGGATTAACATAAGGTAAGTAGGATGTTGTAAGATCTTGGGAGTTGTCAGTTTTGCTGGAGGGCTGGAATAATATGCGTTGAGCTTCTTCTGGATCTGGTTAATGGCTGTTCCTTTATCTACAGGAAAGCTTTCCATAGCTGCTAATATGCAGATCGTGGGCTGGATGTTCTGGAAATGGCTTCAGTGTTAATGTGAGATCCTGCTCTGCGTTGCTATCAATTCGAGTGTGATAGTCTCATGTTTCCATACTTATTGGAAAATAAAACTACTTTATTTTGGGTTGTATTCGTGGCATTATTTGCAAACTCAGTAGATGGCAGTGTGGTGGAGAGTGTTTTGGCAGCTAGGATTGGATACACATAGCTGTCAAGTGCCCCTTATTTGAAGGGACAGTCCCTTATTCCAGCCCCATGTCCCGCTGCTGTCCCTTATTGATGGGTGTCCCTTAAATGTCCCTTAAATGATGTCCCTTAAATTTCAAAGGAAGCAGCTCCTCTTCCTCCCTCCCTGCCGGCCAGGGAGGAGGGAGGCTCCAACTGTGTTGCTTGGCTGTATTGCTCACCCAATAAAAGTCTAAGAACGACTGGGGGTGGAGCTTGCATGCCTTGTGTGTGGCTAGTTAATGCAAGCTGAGGAGGTTTTTGAATGCTGGACGCCATTTTGTTGCACGTGCTGCTGCAAACTTTGCAGTGCAAAGCCAGGCTGGGGAGCCACTTAAGTTGAGGCTGCATAGGCCTTGTGGTGCATGTGATTCAGATTCTATTCAGTTGAACCTCTGGTTACAAAGTTGGTTGGACAGTGTTCTCGAAGCTACCCAGCATGAGTTTGACCAGACTGCAGGAGGACAGGAGTGCCTGGAAGAGGTGAGGCTGCAGGTCCCTTATTTTGGCTGCTGGTCCCTTATTTTCAAATCTGTAAGTTGACAGCTATGGATACATTCAGAAAATACAGCATAGTACAGCGTTTTGAGAAAAATACATTTCAGTAAAGATACATTCAAGGAAAAGACATACATTTCAGTAAGGATACATTCAGTTCTTTCAGATACATTCCTCTACATTTCTGTAAGGATACATTTAGATACATTCTTAAGTCAATGAGAAAACACAGCAAAACGATACATTCTCAAACAATGCATTCTCCAAGACACAGTTTAATTTTCTTGTGGGGTTTTAAGGCATAATACTGTAACTTTGATATTAGTAGGGTCATTTTTCCTTTATTCCCCTCTCTGACCATGACTCTCTTACGACATCTTCAAGAAGCAAAAGGGCTTGCTATTCTATTCTCAAGGCAGCACCAGCAGCTGAAAGTTACTAAATATGTAGAATAGAACAGCACTGACCAAGAAGTGGATGAGCCACTTCAAAGGCATCTTAGTATATAGACCAACGTCACTAGACCCTTGGGCTATTTTAACAGGGCAGACAAAGTATCATCTAAGACAGGAGGCATAGGCAACCTCGGCCCACCAGATGTTTTGGGACTCAATTTCCATCATCCCTGACCACTAGTCCTGTTAGCTAGGGATCATGGGAGTTGGTAGTCCCAAAACATCTGGCAGGCCGAGGTTGCCTATGCCTGATCTAAGAGCTTTCTTTTCCTTCTATCTTTCAAAGATTTATCTTCTACTACCTTTTAGCACTGACGTATTGTTCTGCCACAATCTCTTCCCGCATTTGACAAGTTTTCTTCACTTGCCAAAGAGGCTTCCATTTTCCTGCCTCAGTCAAGGGTGGTGCCTGTTCTTTTGTTTCCAGCAAACATTGCTGCAAGCTCCAGATCTGAAAAAAATCCCTATCAAAGGAGCTGCCCGATGCCACCTCCCCTGAGTTTTAATGGCCATGTGGGCATTGGGAATCCTGCAAAGGGCAGCTGGCTCATCAAGACACCCAAAGCACTACTTGGTCATTTCAGAAGTAACAAGGTAGGTGTGTAGAAAGTTCTGCACCCCACCCCTTAAAATTTCATCCATTTTTTTAATTCTCCCCTGTAATCTTCAAATGGAATTTAATTTATTTTCTCATCTATTTATAAGAATATTTCTAAACTGCCAGCTCATAAAAAATGTGATGGTGGGGTACAATGAAAGCATTGAAGGATCATAAAACTATAAAATATAGAAAAAATGATTACCACAGAATCATAGAATTGTAGAGTTGGGACCACAAGGGTCATCTAGTCCAACCACTGCAATGCAGGACTTTTGCTCAATGTGGGGCTCAAACCCATGACCCTGAGAATACAGTAAGAGTCTCGGGCACGTGTGTTGAGATTCCTGCATTGCAGGGGGTTAGACTAGATGACCCTCAGGGTTCCTTCCAACTCTATGATTCCATGTTCTGCAGACACAAATGTGTTTTCTGAAAACCCTTTGTGAAATGAACATTTTCAGCAGGTAATGAAATACAGTATAGTATCAGAATTGTAGGTGCATGTCTCCCTCAGCCTCCTCATAGTTATAAGGAAACAGTAAGAAAGAAGCACTACATTTAGGAGAGTGCACACATGGACCATACCAGGTCACATCTCAACAAGGCATTGCTCCTGAGGAAGAGTGAGTGTGCTTGCCATCTACAATTTTTATAAACCAACATGCTCTTTGTAAAAAATGGAGTATTTATGCCCCTAACTGAAACATTTGAGGCATGCAAAATTTTTAAAACTAAAAAAAACAATGGTGCCGATGTTCCTAGAGTGGAGCAAACGTGTTATATAAATTTCCCTCTCCCTCCCTGAAGTGTACAGCAAGTGCCAATCAGCACCTGGATTTCGTGACCTGACCTGGAATGGATCAGGCTGATCCAAAAATGCTGAAGCCCATTGCAGTCAATGAATGCATGGCGCTGGGCCCAAACAGTGCAAAAGAGACCCAGCGGAATCAAACCACAGAGCAGACGGAAAGACTCTTTGCTTGGCTTTGAAATGCCAGCTTCTGGGTGCTTCTAACTGTTAGAAAACACGTTGCTGAATTAAATCAGGATCTTAAAATAAAGTCAATCCATTTCATTTTTCTAGAAATCCTGACCGGTTGCAACCAATGTACACCCATTCCTATTTAAAGCAGGGGAATTCCAGCTCGAAATTTCCACTGAGGCTGAAAGCCTATAGCCACTTACCCAGAAGTCTCAGCAGGACTTCCGAGTGAACACGCACATGATCATACTGAGCGTCAGGAAGAACATCAATGGCCGGTGCCCAAACGCCTGCCGACCTGGATTGTGCAGTGCAAATATACTGCGTAGGAAGTAACGACAGCTCCTTTTTCTGTTATGTGGGTGGCCCTTAAAAGAGCCTTTGGGTTATTTCCAGCTGCGCTGTAGCGACTGGGAAGCAGCTCAAGCCCTCTCCCCACGGATACGACGCGCCAGCTGAATGTCTTTCGGCATAATGGTGACCCTTTTGGCGTGGATGGCACACAGGTTGGTATCTTCGAAGAGACCCACCAGGTAAGCCTCGCTCGCCTCCTGCAAGGCCATGACGGCAGAGCTCTGGAAGCGCAGGTCCGTCTTGAAGTCCTGGGCGATTTCCCTTACCAGGCGCTGAAAAGGCAGTTTGCGGATCAGGAGCTCTGTCGATTTCTGATAGCGGCGGATCTCCCGCAGGGCTACGGTGCCCGGCCGATAGCGATGGGGCTTCTTCACCCCACCCGTGGCCGGGGCGCTTTTCCGGGCAGCCTTAGTGGCCAGCTGCTTGCGAGGGGCTTTTCCTCCGGTGGACTTGCGGGCAGTCTGCTTGGTCCGCGCCATGGCTCTTCCTCAAGCAGCGAGACAGCAGCTCGCTCCTGCAGGACGGATGCAACGCGGGGGAGAGGACCTGGGAGCAGAGAATTTATAGGGAAATCCTCCTTCCCTGATTGGCCGAGAACGCGAGCGTAGCGGCTCAGGGGTTTGAATTTCCCGGGCTTGGAAGGGATTGGAGGCCACCTCTGAGCTCTCGGTCCCCTCCCAGACCTTCTGCCTGAAAGGTGCTCCAGTTATATCATGGATCCTAAGCACACGACCTATACAATTACCTTTTGGTCGGGGTGGGGGCGCGCGAATCCCAGCCTATCCTACCTCACAGGGTTGTTGTGAAAGTAAAAAACAACACATATCATGCGTGTGGAGTGAAACAGTGTTTAGCGGCAATTCCAGCTCCAATAGCGCGTATCTTAAAGTTGCTGCCGTTAAAAAGCTGAAAAAGCTGACAAGCCAGATTTGTGCGACCACAGGGCATCCCAACCCCCACCGTTCCTAGTGTGACAACCGTTTTTGGATCAAAGAGAATTAAATTATCAACAGCTTTTGAGATGCGGAGCTGAATAGGCTTCTTTGAACTTAACAGGTAGAGGCAGTTATAGGGCTAAAAAACCCCTCGCTACGCAATGGTTGGTTCAGAATCGTACCCCCTACCGACGAATCCTTTGATTTTACGGGGAGTCAGTAAAAATACCAGGGTTAAAGAGTATTTTTAATACTATGTGTCAGCTCCCGCGTTACACATACGTAATTCTTTCTCAGGCCGCATCAGAGCCAGATTGCCTCGGAGTGAGGTATTGCCTTGGCATGCCAATTCGTTTTCTAATATTTATTTGTTCGAGTACCCCAAGGTGTATTTTAGATATAAAATGGGGGCGGGAAACGACTGCATGATCCACGTAGGACATCATTCCTTAACCAAGAGCTGTTCATCAACGGGCATTATTGATACCCCGAACAGCCAATACTTCTCAACCACGGAAAGTACAACTAAAACAAGGGCTCAGGTTCACCTAATTTGGTGGAATGGCAATTGTTCCTCGCGGATTTATACGATTTAACCTTAAACGCTAGGAATATTTTTAATCCCGTTCTAAACACAAGACAACTTGCTTTCCTGGACTCAGCTCTTTTCTGGAAAACGTGGGTGGCTCTGAAAAGAGCCTTTGGGTTCAGCGAGGGTTTTTTTTTCCTTTGGGGGGCAGCCAAGGTTTACTTCCCTTTGGCCTTGTGGCTCTCGGTCTTCTTGGGCAAGAGGACGGCTTGGATGTTGGGCAGGACGCCGCCCTGGGCGATGGTGACTTTGCCGAGCAGCTTGTTGAGCTCCTCGTCGTTGCGGATGGCCAGCTGCAGGTGGCGGGGGATGATGCGGGTCTTCTTGTTGTCGCGAGCGGCGTTGCCGGCCAGCTCGAGGATCTCGGCCGTCAGGTACTCGAGCACGGCCGCCAAGTAGACGGGCGCGCCGGCGCCCACCCGCTCGGCGTAGTTGCCCTTGCGCAGCAGGCGGTGCACGCGGCCCACGGGGAACTGCAGGCCGGCCCGCGAAGAGCGCGACTTGGCCTTGGCCCTCGCCTTGCCTCCCTGCTTGCCGCGGCCAGACATGCTGTCGTCACCGGCTCTCACGCACCACACGCAGCGCGCACAAGGCAAAAGCAGCACTGACGGGCGAGGGCCCAGGCGGGGCCTTTTATGCCTTCCTGGAGCCTGCAAGTGCCATTTCTTATTGGCTCATCGGGCGTCCTGCAGCCACAAGCCAATGAGAAAGCACATTTCTCGACCTGACCAATCACAGAAGTGGAAACGGCACTCTTCCAATAGGAACGGGAAAATCACAGTCCTATGATTTGCATGTGCGTGCGCAGCGGAGATGATATCAGGAGGCGCGGCAGCCAATAGAAACAGGTCAGCTTAGCAACCTTCATTTGCATAAAGGGCCTTTAAATAGAGGAAGGGCTGACACCGGCAGCGCCGCATTCCTCTTTGCAGTCCGCCGTGACCAGAGAAAGGTGGTTTCCGAGCGCTTCTTATTTCCTCCAGAGCGAAGACTTGTTTTTTGCCAGAATGCCCGAGCCAGCCAAGTCTGCTCCGGCCCCCAAGAAGGGCTCCAAGAAGGCGGTGACCAAGACGCAGAAGAAGGGCGACAAGAAGCGCCGCAAGAGCCGCAAGGAGAGCTACTCCATCTACGTCTACAAGGTGCTGAAGCAGGTCCACCCCGACACCGGCATCTCCTCCAAGGCGATGGGCATCATGAACTCCTTTGTGAACGACATCTTCGAGCGCATCGCCGGAGAGGCTTCTCGCCTGGCCCATTACAACAAGCGCTCCACCATCACCTCCCGGGAGATCCAGACGGCCGTGCGCCTCTTGCTGCCCGGGGAGCTGGCCAAGCACGCTGTCTCGGAGGGCACCAAGGCTGTCACCAAGTACACCAGCTCCAAGTAAGCAGATCGTGCTGCTTAGCAAAGAACTCAATAACCCAAAGGCTCTTTTAAGAGCCACCCACTTTCTCACAAAAGAGCTTGAGTCATTTTTCATCCTGGGTTCCCATAAATGCTGACATTGCACACCAATTTTTATTAACTATTAAAACATACGTGGTGGTGCTCTAAAGACACTCTTTCCCCATGTGAAGTATTATGTCATACAGTATTTTGTGTTCTGTGATTCTTTCCCATATTGCATGAAACCAAGTTAGGTAGGGCAGCTTATGGGGGGGGACTACTTGCAGGTTAGAGTGGTGGCATAGCTCAATACACCTTGAGCAGGTGTGCTTCACAAAGCTATGCATAGTATTTTCAAAAACTTAATAAAAGCTTTATACAGTAAACTTGAGTTTGTGGTGAATCAAGAATATGCTAAGAATGTGCTTTGGATGATGGGAGCATAAACTTTGCTAGAGAATAACTAGGCCTGGCGTTTACAATAGAGACTCCTAATTTCTGGACAAGCTTCTACAACTAATTTTTGTGAGTAGCTAAAAGTGACATGTTTTAATTACTGTTCTTCTGTAACAAAATTTCCCAAAGGGTAGTTTTTAGCAATAATGTCTCCTGGTATCTTAGAGCCTCAGAACTATTAGGGTGTTAAGTTTTTGTGTATCACAGCCCCACATCCTTCAAGATACATAGAATTGTATAGTGGGACTGGTTGTTGAGGGTCGTCTGGTCCAACCCTCTGCGATGCAAGAATAAACTAGATCATACATGAAGTGCAACCCTAAATTGGGAGGCAAATAAAGGTATATCTGACATTTTGTTTTGCAACCTATGACAGGCATTCTCTCTAAGGTCACAATGAGGAGCTACTGAAGGAGTGGATACTAAATTATGAATAAGGTTTGGAAGTTTTAAATTAAAGGGTATTTATTATAGAAGCCCTGATTTGGAAGTAGCCTGTAGGTTTTGCTAATGATATGTCTGTATTAAAAGCAAGGATGCAGCAGAACTTTCAAGTTAATCTTCATTGTTCCTATACGTCACCCCTAGTGATGGCATGTAAGGGGGGGGGGACACTTTTATTGGCATTTACTACAACTTTATCCTGCTTTTCTGAGGCCTATAACAGTCCAGTAAGGTAGATTTGGTTTAGGTGGCAAACTACTACTGAAAGGAAAATCTTGCCAAGGTAGTCCAGTGAGTTTCAAGTTTGATCAGGGATCTGAATAGGCAACTCCTGGTACCATAACTCATATTTTATTACACTACACTTCGCTCTCCAAAGTCCATTATATATTTGTTTGTGTAGTTTTTTTTGTGTGTGTGTAGAGAGAGAGAGAGAGAGATCAAATACTTAAGCACGCCAAGTAGGAATCGGGACCAGAATTTTTTTTTAAAATATTGGGCTTATCCCCTCCATCCATGTTCCAAAACACGGTTGGATTTAATCTCATTGCAATCAAAGCAGAGACAGTTTTCAACACAAATCGCATATGCACCAGTTTCCACTGAAAACATGGTCTTCTCCACAGGATTCCTTCAAGAAAACACACTTTTTTTCCTCAGTAGGTGACAGCACGGCTTACACTAAGGTGTCTTTGGCGTCTCCGTAGTTTATTAATTGTATGCAAGTGTTAAAATAATTTATCACAAATGCACATGGGCGCAGGCTGCTCTCATTCCTAAACTTTATTTACAGCGTCAAAGAAAGAGGACCGACTTTTTCATCGAAGGTATTATCAGTCGTTTTTATCTTGCAACAGTTTCACAATTTGCCCTCTGCTAACAAAGTAGCGCAAATAAGCAGGGGAGGGACGAACGAGTTCCGTTGGGCAGTTTTGTATCCATTTTTTGCTTGTTTGTCTGCTCTCTCCTGCCTCCTTTGGGCAACCTGAGAGCGTTCGCTTCTACGCAGACTCAAGAGCAAACGAACGGCGCCAAATTATTCTGCTTGAAGCGGCGATTTGCGATTGGGCATTTTGAAAATCTCCCGCTGCTCATTTGAGGAGCAGCGCCCTATAGCGAGAGAGGCGTAGTTAGGTAGCACCGCCCTCCCTGGAGCTGCCAGTTTTCATTCTGGTCCGCATAGAGAGTATATACTTCAGCCGAGTTCTTTTCTCTGCTGCATAAGCCGGTTCTTTGTTTGTTCGTGTATCTGCTGGGAAGATGTCGGGTCGAGGTAAAGGGGGGAAGGGGCTTGGGAAAGGGGGCGCCAAGCGCCACCGCAAGGTGCTGCGCGATAACATCCAGGGCATCACGAAGCCTGCGATTCGCCGCTTGGCTCGCCGTGGAGGAGTCAAGCGCATCTCTGGGCTGATCTACGAGGAGACCCGGGGCGTGCTGAAGGTTTTCCTGGAGAATGTCATCCGCGATGCCGTGACTTACACGGAGCACGCCAAGAGGAAGACCGTGACTGCCATGGATGTGGTCTATGCCTTGAAGCGCCAGGGCCGCACTCTGTACGGTTTCGGCGGCTAAATATTCCTGCAGCGAGCAACAAAATATCCAAAGGCCCTTTTAAGGGCCACCTACACATTCATAAAAAGCTGAATTTTCCTCATAAGAGTAACGTTAACAAGGTAGGGATGGGAGCTTGTGAAAAGGCGGTAGTTTGATTTGCAACTGGTCCGACGTGTTTGTACGTAAATCAAGAAAGTCGAGGTGTGCGGTGGCATTTTACAGTTCTGTTCACTTTTTTTAAATACTCCGATACAACGCCTTGAATCATTTTTTTGTCTCCCGCTTCTGACCGTTTTTTGAGTTTAAAAAGCACCCTATTGGTTCTTCAGTGCAATTTCTAGGGGAGGCAGCCTTTGCTCACGGCCCTGGGCTAACCTCGAAGGGGCTTTTTGCGCAGAACTCTGCTCCTCCCTTCGCTGTCCCCCACTAGAGAGGAAGGCTCCACACTGGCTTAGTAGCCGCAGGAGGATTCCGGACGCTTTTCCTTTAGACCTCGGAGAAAAGCGCGGGGGGGGGAGGGCGGGCAGACAAAAGCCAGCGAACAAAAGCCCGGTCTCCGGGCTGGAAACCGCTACGCCGCATTTCCCAGCAGCCTTTGTGCCCATTGCTTTGTTCGCCTCCTTGTGACCTTGTGCTGTCTGTGGCCAATGAGAACCTGTAGCGTCATGCCGTCGCTTAGAGACGCAAAGCACTCTGGGATAAGTAGTTCCGAGGCGGCCCGCGGGATTCAGATCCGGGCTGCGCCTTCTCTCTCGCTGTGGAAAAAGGGACGGTGACAGCAGCCCCTGGGGTCCTTTCTCTCAGACATACGATTTTTCTGCCCGCGTTTCTTATTTCGGATTTTCCCCACCGGCTTGTCCAAAGCCAAGGGGGGCACTTGCCCCCCCCGTCCGCTCAAAATCAAGAGAAGTCTGAGGTCCTGCGCTCTTGTCGGGCTCTTGGGCGCAGCCAGCTCCGGCATGTGCTGACGGAATGGCTGCCCTGGTTGCCTTTCTTTTTTCTCGACTTGCCTCCTCCAGCTCTGGTCGTTGGCCAGGAGGATAATATTCCGGCTTTGCGGCAGCCCTCGCCACCCCTCTCTGCATTAATCAAGCATTAAAAACTTCCCTAAACAAGCCTGCCTTCAGATGTCTTCTAAAAGTCAGATAGTTGTTTATTGCCTTGACGTCTGCTGGGAGGGCGTTCCACAGGGCAGGTGCCACTACCGAGAAGGCCCTCTGCCTGGTTCCCTATAACATCATTTCTAGTAGTGAGTTACCCCATTCAGGACCAGGGAGTCCCACATACCCGCCCGCCCCCTGTCCTCCAAAAACAGTACTTTTGTCTTGTCAGGATTAACGACGCATGGCAATCCCATGCTAAATGCCTAGTTTTTTTTAATTAACTTATTGATTCTTATTCATATATACATAAATACATAGCCATTACAAAGTATCTTTTTGTAATATACTAAAATAAGACAGCTACTGAGTCTGAAAAAGAACAAGGTCAGAAAGAGGAAAAGACAATAAAAGGAGAGACCTAAAAAGAAAAGAGAAAGGGAGAGGAAAGTGAAAGAAAGTAAAAACTACAGAAAGAAAAGAGTGTAAAAGGACTTTCAGGTCTGGGTTCTGCATTCTATCTTCTATAAACCGATAATTTCAGTATTCAAATCCTGATACTATAAGCTCATTTTCTCTTTCAAACAAAAAATCCACAAGGAATTTCCAATCCTTAACAAATGTCAGTTACGATTTTTTTTTGACGTGCTTTCGAACTGCTAGGTTGGCAGGAGCTGGGACTGAGCAATGGGAGCTCACCCCGTCGCGGGGATTCGAACCGCCGACCTTCTGATTGGCAAGTCCTAGGCTCTGTGGTTTGACCCACAGCGCCACCCGCGTTCCTCGGGTGTAAGCATAATGGAACTTAATAGGACTAACTTCTGAGTAAACATGCATAGGATTGTTCTGTGCAAAAGAATAAAAACATTCTGAAGAAAAAGGTTGTATGTTTTAATGTTGGGCCAGGAGTCAGCATTGCCAGGCACCTGAGGAGGTCCACTGCCATCTACACTGTCTGGAGCTGTGACTGGATGCCACCATTTTGTGTAGCCATGTGTGTGTATGCCTCCGCCACGTGTAGAAGGCCACCGAGGTTCCTCCTTTGCCAGAGGAGGAAGAGGAGCCCTTCAGAACCCCTATCCCACAGACAACAAAGAGGAGCAAGAATAGCATCCACTGGAGGCAGAGAGCTTTGGCAGCTTCTCACCAGTGATGGCAATGAAGAGAACAGGGACTTCTATGGACAGGGGAGGAACAGCAACCAGGTAGCTGCAGAGCCCTCTCTGTCTGGACTCACTGCTGCACTGGCAGTGGTGAGGAGGGAGTGGCTCTCTGGTGGCCCAGAGCAAGGGAGCTACAGCACTGACTTCTGGTGTTCTCCCCTTTGCTGCCCCACAACAAGTGTCTCTATGCATGGGTGAGTGCACAAGGGGGCCACCATGCAGAACACAATCTTTAGGTCTCTTGCCCACAGCCCCAAAACCTGGAGCCATCCCTGAAATGATGCCCATATGTGGTGCAGTTGGTGTGCCTTAGCATTCCTTCCATGGGGGGGAGGGGTAGAGGAAGGGGAAGTGCCACTTTGAAGCACCTTCTATCAGTGCTTTGAAAACATATATTTAAAATAACACACTAAAGAAAATATGGTGCCCAATTACTTGAAGGTGCCCTTTTAATTGACCAAATGTTTTATGTAAACTGGTTAATCAAAGTGATTGATCAAATGTGCAATCTTACTCTAAGTAACTATTCTGCATGGGTATAAGTGTCTATGCTACTGAAATATCTCTCCTGCACATTGTCTATACAAAAGCTTGGAATGGCAAACTGCCCATTTGGCCTTAATGGGCAGTGTCACTAGTTGCATGGCACATGCACTGCTCATTGTATCCTCCTTGACAAACCATTCGTCTCCAGGAAAACAGTCTCATTCACAGGCTGACTTTCCCAGGCCCATCTCAAGAACACCATTGATTATTTTCCTTTTGGCATAATAATGATTTTCCTTATAGGTCACATGGCAAGCTTCTACCCTGCTTGGTGAGGATGAAGTTCACCAACCACTACTCAGCACTGGCACTCCTTTTGGGAGATTAGAATTGGCAAACAATTATCTGTGGATACAAATGCCATATAAATTCTTACTGATAATCATATTAACTGGCTAAGGAGGGTGGTAGGGTGGGGCAGGTGGCCAGGCTTGTGGAACATAATGAAAGAGCCCTGCTGGATCAGGTGCATATAGTTCAGCTCCTGGTTCTCAAATTGGCAAAGCAGATGCCTAGGAAAAACCCACAAGCTGGACTTGAGGGCAACAGCATCTTCTCTCCACTGATGCTCCCCAGCAGCTTCTCACTCAGGTGGTAGTGCCATCATGGCTGAAAGCCACTGGTAGCCTTACCCTACATGAATTTGTTTAAACCCTCTTTGAAAGCTATCTAAGCTAGTAGCCATCATTACATCTTCTGGCAGCAAATCCCATAGCTATAAATATGTACTGTGTGAAGAAGTGCTTATTTTGGTCTGTCCTGAATGCTCTACTATTCAGCTTTATGGGAACAAGAACCCTGTATGAGTAGGGCCTTAAGACTTTATATGAGTTTTTTGCCAGGTCCCATGGGGCTGCTTTCCCCCACCAGACTTGCACAGTTCTGTCGAGGTTATTTAGAGTCTGAGAAGGTTCACTGAAATATACCAATATCCTTTCAATTTCCCCTCACACTTCTGCCTAGTTTTTGTCCTGGATTTATTTCAAACTTCACTGGAGGCAACATTCCACCCTGTGTTTGTCGCATGCAGCATGGTTGCATTTTGCTGCAGTTTACCTTCTGCCGCAAACTGTGCTATTGGTCTTGCTGTCTGCTGTGGTGAAATTATGCGACTCACATAATTTATGCACTTAATTACATAAAGTATGTTGCTGTTACATTATTCTACCCTGTTCATTTCAATGCAAATAGAGGGAAATGTAATCAATTATGTATCATTTGCGGACTGAAAGCAATAACAACAGCAAATCCTGATGGCATTCGCTGGGTTGATTTCTGTTCAAACATGGGACAAGTAAACAAACATTGGCAAGTCCTGGTCCTTTTTCTGTCGGAAAGCTCTGACATCCCTACTCACACCCCGAAGGACCTGTTGTCTTTAATTCCTCTCCAGCACACATTCCTTATCTGTAAATTCACCAGAACCTGGTAGCTTTAAAACATGGGAGTGGACTGATCTGTTGCAGGATGTCTCTGGTCATCCGACATAGCCTTAGCAGCGCAGTGGGAAGAGGAGAGGCTCTGCTGCCATCAGGGCCTCACCCACCCTGACCTCAAGCAGGTGTGACCCGGCGCCGGAAACAGCTGCATGTGATGCATTTGAGGAAGCTCATGCTGAGGTGGAAGATGCCTGTGAAGCGAAAAAGCAGGTTGTAGTAGGTGCCAACGGACAGATCCCCTGAGGTGTCCGCATACTTCAGGGCCACCAGCGGCGTGTATAGGGTGTTCGTCTGTGTCCGGAAAGGAGGACGCTCCTTGGCGATGACGTTCACAACAGCCTGAAGGAAGGCAAGGTGGAAAGAGGTTGGTATTTTGATACAGCTCCTTCACATCCCCATCCTAACAACTGCTGCTTTCACGTGTTTGGTCTTCCTTGATTTTGAAGCAGTGATTCTCACAGTGTGTGCAGGAGAGGCCGGTGCTAGACAGCAATAGGCAACTGTTGTTATTTTTTCATGGACTTTTGGGGAGGTGCCTTTCCATTACATAAAAGGAAGAGGAATCCTGGCATATTGAGTCCAGCATTTTGCTCTTGTGGTGGCTAGCTCACAAGCAGTGCATGAGCACTATAACCCCCCCCCCCCCATGATCCCTAGCAGTTGGTAGTCAGAAGGATACTGCCTTTGACACCTCATTGTTCCACAGTGAGGCAAGAGCATCAACAGGAGCACTGTCCGTGTCAGCCAGAAAATCCCCCAGGCCATGCAAGAATCCAGCAGGTTCCATCAGTCTCAGGGTGGACCATCTTAGTGGTTCCATCACCTTTGCACAGGGGAGCAGGCAGCCCAAACCTTACCAGCCCAAATTGTGTGGCCACGGCAACTGATTCAAAGCAAGCAGCTCCCCACCCTGCCCCAGCCATCAAGGTCTGCTCTGTGGCAAAGATGAGGTTGAGGGAGTGGCTGATATACTGACGCAGCCTCAGGGTTGTCATGGAGGCCATGATGTCCCAAGCTGACCTGTTTGATTGCAACTCTCTCCCACAAGAAGTTAAACAGGCACCGTCCCTACTGAGTTTCATATGCTTGGTCAAACCCAGTTTATTTCTGGATGCCTTTGCACCCTGAATGCTTCTTGGATGATTTAAAAAACAAAACTTATTAAAAATATATTTTAAATTATGAGGTTTAAATTTCTGGAAGCTTAATTCATGTTTTAAATCCTGTATGTTCTGTATTTTATCGTAGTATGTCACTTTGAGACTTACATGGTGAAAAGTGAGAAATAAAGTTTAAAAGAAGCAAATAGTAGCCTGAGCTGGATCAAGGCATTTTGCTGTCTGAGGTAAAGAAGAAGATGATGCTCCTCCCAATTCCATGTACAGAAGTCAGGTGGACTGGTGGTTGAATCTCAACTTCAACACTAGTAGCAGGACAACATCCTCCACTGCATCTGACGGGAACAGGGGAACTGAGTGGGACAGGGAAGGCCATGTGTGGCCTGCACAGCTCTGTCCTCCCAACACCTTGCCATCACTCCCCACCATTCAGCATTTGCCACCTGAGGCAGCTGCCTCACTCTGTCAAATGGTAGAGCTGGCCCTGGGTCTGAGTATGCATTACAGGACAGAGCAGGTATCACGACTGAGCCAGCCCAGCCAGCTTTCAGTGGAGGAAGTAGGCAGGAAGAGAGAGGGTTAACTATCAGAAGAGAGGAGCCTAGCTGAGCACCAACTTCCCCACCCTCAGGAATGCAGGTTGCCAAGGGAACTAGGATCTCCCCAGGTCTCTCAAGGGGAGGGAAAAGGAGAGGAAGAGAAGATTGACAGAGCCACTTCCGGCTTGCCCAGGAGGTGGGGTTGCGGGCTTCACGCCCACCCCACGTGAGCGGGGGCTGGTTTCAGCCCCCGCGAGAACGGGAATCCCGGCCGGGTCTGCCCCCCCAGCCAGCCAATCGGCTGACTGGGGGGGCGTGGCCTGGGCTATTTAGGGCCGGCACGGAGGGGGCTCGCCCTCTCTTTGCCGGCTCAGGAAGAAGTTGGAGGGGATCCAATGAGCCCACGGAGGGAGTCCCACTGGGGGAGGGTGTGTGATAGGAGGCGGAAGCAGAAACTTCAGGGTCAGAAATCCCATTTAAGTTGGAGGAAGGAGAGGGACTCAGCACAAGAGTCATCGCAATTCATGATGGCGGCAGCTGGGTTAATGCCGTCTGGCGTTATCTGTGTACTTGGTCAATAAATCACTATTTCTACTTAACTACGCTCCCTGTGCTGGATTCCTGACAGCAGGCTAGAGAAGAAGAAGAAGAAGAAGAAGAAGAAGAAGAAGAAGAAGAGGAGGAGTTTGGATTTGATATCCCGCCTTTCACTCCCTTTAAGGAGTTTCAAAGTGGCTAACATTCTCCTTTCCCTTCCTCCCCCACAACAAACACTCTGTGAGGTGAATGGGGCTGAGAGACTTCAAAGAAGTGTGACTGGCCCAAGGTCACCCAGCAGCTGCATGTGGAGGAGCGGAGACTCAAACCCGGTTCCCCAGATTACGAGACTACCGCTCTTAACCACTACACCACACTGGCTCTCGGGACCAATGGATGCCAGTGTGGAACAATGGAAGAGGCCAGTTCCTGCTTTGTTTTATGCAAACAACTCAGTCTGGTGAGGTGAAATCTGTCAGGGAGGCTGTAGAAGAACTACTGGCTTTAAAGCTTTCCTACGTCACTCATGAGGGTGACCCCTACCTTAGCCACATACTCAGGGGTCTGGCCCATGGTGGTGAATATCTCATGGGAGGCCGGAAGATAGACCTCCTTGAAGTACCGCACGGTGGCAGCATCGGCTCCCGGGAACTCAGAACGGGCCACTTCCTCCATCAGTTTCATCTCAAATTCTGTGTTGACTGGACCGGGCTCTACCATGGAGATGCTGTGTAGAAGAGGGATTGAAAGAGAGCAAGAGAGAGAAAATGAGGCAGCATTTGGGCTTGGGATCTTCCCATCAGATGCCTAAAGTTGGAAGGAAATGGCCAGGGCCCCTGTGCCCTTCCCTGCTTAATTGCCCCAGGGAAATTTCCTTGAATTAATGTTCATTTTAGATATATAAAGGCCTCCATGAATGGGACTTAGCTCTGCCATTGAGATCAACATGAGATCCATTATTTATATATACAGTGGTACCTTGGTTTTCAAACATAATCCATTCCGGAAGTCCGTTCCAAAACCAAAGTGTTCCAAAACCAAGGCGTACTTTCCCATAGAAAGTAATGCAAAATGGACGAATCCATTCCAGACTTTTAAAAACAACCCCTAAAACAGCAATTTAACATGAATTTTACTATCTATGTAAGGACTCTATATGGGCTCTTGGATACCCCATAAGGGAAAAGGGCAATTTTTGTTTACAGCATAACGAGACCATTGATCCATAAAATGAAAGCAATAAACAATGTACTGCAGTCACACAATCAATCAGTAGCTGAACTGGGTTCCATACAGTCACACACAAAAAGACCCACAAAAACAAAAGTGCAAAATAGCAAAAACAGACAGACCTCAGCGTAAGACTCAACAGGGTGCTGGACTAGATGGGCCATTGGCCTGATCCAGGGGGTGTCATCTTTGTTTTAAACTGTGATTTAATATGGTGTGTGAACTGGGCTCATCTCTGTTTCTATCTGAGTGTACCTTTCCCTGATGTTTCGGGGAAGGACGTTGCTTGTGCAAATCCCTTCCAGTTTCACTAAATTGGGTAGAAGAATTTAAGCTCTTTGAGATCTGCCCCCATGTCGCTCACTCAACTCACAAAATGTTGAATTTGAGGAGTTGCACAGCTAGGCTTTCACAGAAACCTTCCATGGCAAACTTGGAGGCAGCATACACATCATTGAAGGGGACACCTGGTTGGAAAGCAGAAGGGATTTGAGGTGAGCATATCGTCATAGCACACTGCTCCACAGGTTGCTACATTATTGATAAAACAGAAATGGTAAGGCCAGAGCCAGCTATACAAATTTTGCCCTAGCCTTCAACTTGACCAGCCCACCTCCTTGCTCGCCCCACGAAGAGGAAGATGAGCAGCTGTGGTGGAGATGGCTCGCAGTGGTGGTGGAGGGACTGGGGACTATGGGGAGAAACTCTTTCTCACTGTTATGGTTGTCATCCTCTTGCAGCCACTGCAGCTTCTTGCCTTCCTCTTCCTGGGGATTGCAAGGAGGAAGACCTGATCTGTGGGGCCATGAGGTCTCTTTGGCTACAGAGGTACAGAGCTAAGCCAAGGCTTTGAGGTTGTATCAGTTTGGATATCTTTGCTCTGCTTCCTCCTGCCCTCCCTATTCCGTTCATACCTTGCAATCCCATGACGCTGCTGATCACTACAATGTGTCCTCTCTGTCTTTGCTTCATTTCAGGGAGAACTGCTTTGATCATGCGGATGGCACCAAAGAAGTTGGTCTCAAAGATGCGCTTCATGTCATCGATAGAAATGGACTCTACAGGCCCAACGAGCCCCACACCGGCATTGTTCACTAGGGAACATAAATTATGATATTAAGAAATATCTGTGTTCCAATAATCTCCTGCCAGCATAGCTTCCCATCCTGCCAGAGCCTTGTCTGGACAGGAATGGAAGTCCCCACTTTATTTCCACCCCTGGTTTCATCATGCCTCTCCATATTCTCCTCCTAACAGGAGCTCTTCCCCTGCCCCCCTGCAGTGCTCAATCAATGGCTGTCATTTCTTCCTGTGGATTAGCCCAACATTACGTCCTCCAGCTGTTTTGGACTACAACTTCCACGAGTCCCTGCCAGCATGGCCAGCAGTCAGAGATAATGACAATATGGGGGGGCACCAGGTTGGGGAAGGGATGTTAGAGATAGATGTGTGAGTGCTCTACCTCTGTTGTGGACACTTTGTTAGGCCTGAGGACAAGGGATAGAGCCTGGGACAATTAGTATCCCAAGCATGTACTTGGTATACAAAATGGGCTTTCCCCATGGGAAACATTGTGGTTGCTAGGCAACCACAGCATCTCATCATCACAGCTGTACCTAGCAACCCCAAATACAATGCACCCCACTCTTCTTAGACATGACAAAAGGGACTAGGCCATGACGGATGACAGAGGGCCCATTTTGGACAGAGAGAGAGTGTGTGAATTTGCTGCTGATATATCACAGCCCCGTAGGAGCCTCTCAGACTTCCTTTGCAGCTTTTCTACCTGTAGTGTAGCAGAGGGGGATGTCATTGAGGGCAATGACACCATTTGCCACAGCACCAGGATAATAGATAGACCCTTCTTATTCTGGCAGTGCTCTCAGGTAACAGAGGTAACAGAGCTCTCAGGTTTTACCATTGTTTGTGACAGATTCGCACAAAGGAAGTCCTACACTGTGGCTGTCAGCCTATTTTAGTACATTCTCATAAACTAGGTGCCACATTATGCCATGTGCTCTGTGTGTGTGTGTGTGCGCGTGTGCGTGCGCATGCCTGCCTGTTTATCTAATAAATAAAACAGCTCCCTGGATTTTGACTCTCCTTGGAAACAAGGCTATGGGCACCATTATCTACTCATTGTTTTACCTCACTTGAAAGTAGTTTCTGTGCTTGTGAAACATACACATTTAAGGATCTGAGAGAGGTCCTGAGCACATTGAACTGAAAACACAAACCAACATGTAAAAATTGGAAACAGAAACAAAAACAATAAGCTATTTTAGTAGGATAGTGGATTGAGCACCCTGATCTACAAACTAGATCAACTGCAGTTAATTTACGCTTTTATTGCTTAGTTGGAATGTGTCCCTGAGCTGTGATAGTATAGTTTGCTCCCTGAGTGAAGGATGGAGCTGTGTGTGCATGTGGCTTTGGTTTCCATGTGTCTTGAATGCAGCCTAAGGTACAAAGATAAGGATCATGTTCCTTGCTCTGCCCATTTTTTGCCTCCAGCTCCACCCACCACATTCATACGCCCCTCAGAAGGTTCTCTCCAGGGGAATGTGGCCCCCAGGCTGATGAAGCTCCCACAGCCCCTGCTCTAGAGTGACCAAGAGGGAGAACCAATGACGGGGAGGGGGGCATGCGCAGAAAGGAGCAGGCTGGATTCTCAGCGGTTGGTGGGAGGGGGGGCACCAAGGGCAGGGAACATATTTAGCCTCCTCCCCGCAGCATGCCCCTTTGCTTTCTTCTTTGTAAGTGTGTGGCAGACAATCTCCCCCTTGAGGATGAAAGCTGCAGAGAAGGCAACTCCTGCCTACCATAGGGGCTTCTCCCGTCTTTCTCTTGGGCAGAGAAAATGCCTGCCCTTCAAGAGCTGAATAAAACCTGCTTATGAAACCTGCACGAGTAATTAAGCTTCAGGAGAGAAGATGTGGTGGGGAATGCGCTTAATAGAGTAGAAAGCACCCTCTGCTGAATTTCGCACCTCCCTTTCCTCACCACAGCAGATCGCTGTCCATCGCGGGCTCATTTTCCTTTGCTTTTTGCCTAAGAGCACCTGGCGCCGCTCGCTCTCCCCTGTCTGGATTTTCTCTTGAGCTGTGAGGCAAAATGCTTCCACAGCGCTGTTTTGGTGAGCGACCAAAGTCTCCCCGCCCCCAAAACGGAACCCCCACCTCTAAGAAAAGCTCATCAACTTTGACCTGAACCCCTAAAAAGGGGGGTAGATCACTGCCAGATTTTAATTCTGGAAGTCCCTCAGGAGTTGACCACCCCTGCCATAGGATAAAGGAGTTCCTCCTGGCTGCACCTTACCCAGAACATCCAGTCGTTTCTCAGGAAGGCTGTTGATGCACTCAGCCACAGACTCATCATTGCAGACATCAAGGCGCTGGATGCTGAGGGTCTTGTTGAGTGTGTCCCCAGCAGCTGCCTCCAGCTTGTCCTTCTTGCGCAGGTCGCGCATGGTGGCAATGACTGGAAGGGAGACAGCGCACAGGAGCATAGCCAAATGTTCTGTGGTGCTGAGATGCATTCAGAGTAGACTGGAGGGGCATCATGTCCATGAAAAACTGCCAAAGTGTGCATAGTAATATACATCTAACCCCACAGGTTTAAATTAGTATTTTCAAGTGTGTGTGTGTGTGTGTGTGTGTGTGTGTGTGTGTATCCAAGAGCTTTGCATTCATAGGACAGAGCACTGAAAACCAGCAGCAGGTTTGCTTTTTACTGAGCAATCGTGTGGAAAAAAGCCTGTATGCATTTAATCAGATCCCTACAAGGACTAGAGACTTGAATGCATTTTAATGAAAACTGAACATCTTGAGAAGAGTGGGTCAGGAACCCTGAAGCTTCTCCAGTTCAGAAAGAACTCAGAGAGGGGGAGGGGGGTCTAGTAGCTCATAGACATGCTCCCCCGCCTCCTCAAAGTCAGTTTGCTGTTACATAGCCTGACACCTGCGTGGCCCAGGGAGCCAATTGGCTGGCTTAGAGGTAGGGAATGTGAGCTTTTTTGCTAGGGGTCAGAAGGGCAATTGAGGATTCATGCATTGTAAGCCGCTTTGGGGTCATGATGCTAAATCCCTCTGTCGTTAATCCCCTCTTTGGAGGGAAGGTGGGGGGGGAGAGAGAGGAATACTTTGTTGCCAAGACTACTAGCAACATGTGTGTGCACTTATGTTTTTCTATGCTTATGCTTGGGTTTTATACATGTGGTTTTGTGCGTGCCTCTCTTTGAGAAATAATGATGAGGATAATGAATATCAACCACAAAACACACAGACACACCATGGATGGGGAGTTATGTAACAAGAGCACTTAGCATATATAAAGGGCAGAGAACCCTCCAGAACCATCCAAAGCTCTTGGGTGTCGAATAGCTCCTGGAGAGCCCACAGGCCCCCAAACCCGGGTCTAAATATGCCGCAGCACACAACTGTATAATACTTAGCATTTAGATAACACATCCAGGGGGTTCAAAATGCATGCATCAACCCAGTCACAGTAATCCTTACATCAAACTTGCAAGGTAGGTTAGTGTTATTACCCACCACCCAAAGTTTGGCAGTTTGGTGGTCAAGGACATACTGGGCATTGCCCTCAGCTAAGACCCCTTTGGGGAGGGGATATAGCCCAGGGACAGAGCAATGCTTTGGATTCAGAAATTCTCCATTTCAGTCCCTGGCATCTCTAGTTTTTGTTTTGTTTTTAAAGGACCAGGTAAACAGATGTGAAGGATGCAAAATGTCTCCCTGTGACTCTGGAATCTGCTGCCAGTAAGAGCAGAGAGAATACTGTGTTAGATGAACAAATAGCCTGACCTGGTGTGAGGCCTGATCCTGTTCCACATTGCAGATGAGGCAAGGGAGGTCAAGGGAGGGTTGTTCATGGGGAAGGAAGCTGCAAGGCTGACACCCTGATTCATAGCTTTGCTTTATGCTGGCAGGTGAGGATTCTTTGTGCTCTCTCTCAGTCTGGCCTCAAATTGCAAAGGGCTAAAGTTTCTTGTTTGGTTTCAAGCAGCATCCTGCATAGCAGAGGCCTACGGTGCTCAATTCAGGTGGATTGGTTTTATTTTTTTTTAAATCAAGTTTCTAGACCCCACAATTGTAGACAAACAGCTTTAAATGTTGTAATCAGGCTATCCAGATGAAGCTTTCTTAATCTACCTTGCCCACCTTCCTCTTTCCTTTTCAAAGGCTCCAATCACCTGCCCCAGCAATCTGTCTCCTACTAATATCCTTTAAAATCCTACTCTTCTCCCTCCTGTATTCCAATAGCTAAGAGAGACTGGGGTGAGGGGAGCTAATATCCTCCACACATGTAATTTAATACAATAGAGCATTTCTCTGTTGTCACAGAATGTAAGGGGGGAAAGGGAATTAGCAAAGAACTCTAGACTCTTTTGGTAATGGTATTTGTGATTGTATTTGCAATCGGAAATGTGAGCGTTTCATAAGGTTTTTCAGTCTGGGGAGCAAGTGCCACAGTGTGTTTATATACGTGCAGTGCGATTGCAGGCTGTGTTGACTCACTGTGACCACATGTGATACTTTTCTTGTTGTGCCTGATGTATGAGGTGACTGTCACCAGTTTAGATGGCCTTAACAAAGGCTTGTTCAAACTCACGGGGAGGCGGGAATAGGTCTGTTAATGTCTATTGCCCATGATATCAAAATGGAACCTACATGTATAGGAGCAGTGGACTTTAGAATATAGATTTGGGGGGATGGACAAGAAGAGGATGATCATTCCTGCCCTGCCCCTTTTACTGAGCTTCCAGAAACACCAGACTGGCTGCTTCTATAAACAGTATGCTGGACTAGATGAATGTTTTAGCCTGATCTAGCAAGTCTGTCCTTGTGACATTTCTGCCAGTGGGACATGTTGTAGATGCCCAAATGTGGTGCATGCAGTGTGTGTGTGTGTGTGTGTGTGTGAGAGAGAGAGAGAGAGAGAGAGAGAGAGAGAGAAGCCGTGTGGTTTTGGAAAGCTGTGCATACTGGGCAAACAATGTTTGTGTCTTCTGTTGAACACACAAGTGTTTGCGTTGCTGCGCATATCTGGTGTTTGTGCACATACAAAGGTATGTCAGTCCGTTGTGCCTTACCTAACAGATCACTCTCTACCTAATGCCCTTTGGACTCAGCACCTTCCTGATCTAGTTACTTAACTCTGGACTGTGTGAGCAGCATGAGGCTTCTCATTAGGATTCTGCCTCCCATGGCAAGCAGAGCAAAGTAGGTGGGACTGGAATGGAGAGGGGTGGGGGGCAGAGAAGAGCTGGGCTTTGATAACATTCTTACCCCCATGTCATGTGTAGTTTGTTATGCAAGTGGCCTTTGGACAGTGTCTGGGTCCAGCCAAACTGCTGGGCAAAGAGTAATGGCTTGTTTCTGCTTAGCCTGTGGAAAATAGGGCAGCAGTGGGTTGGGGGAGATTTGGAGGTGGAGGTGGGAAGTGGGCAAAGGAGTTGGTGGCTGGAAGTGTAGCTGCTGGGGGGAAATCCTGGGAAACAGGCAGAGAATATAGCAAAGTTCCTGCAATACCGAAGGGACGTCCGATTGGGTGGGCAGCACAGGCAGGCACATTCCCTGGGCGTGAAGATGCCAGGGTGGGTGTGACGGCATGCTCTAGCTGCCAGACCATAACAGAGCCCTGAGAATAATGGCTGGCTCAAGGGAGAAAACCAGAGCATGCTGCATTCTTTTAACTCTCTGATTATCACCCTCCCTGGTTCCACAGTCCCTTCCTGCAAGTTGCAGGGCTGAACAGCGCAGAGCTTTGTGGGTACCCCATTTCCTCCATGTGGGTTTGCTCCTCTGCAAGAGGTCCCACACCAGAGTTTCAGAATTCCAAAAAGAGCACACAATCCTCCCCCGAGCAAGTTCCACGCCAACCCCCTTAGCGGATGCCCCAGTCTCACCGTGAAATCGCTTGCTTGGGTCCTGTGCCAGTTGCACAGCCATGCGCAGCCCGATGCCCGAGGAGCAGCCGGTGATAAGCACAGTGCGCGGAGCCGTCTTGGCCATGGCTGAGCTGCAGTGAGTGGTGCCCGAAGGGATCAGGGTTGAGAGAATGACAGAGCTCCTCCAGCATGTGACCCAGGGATCAGCTGGAGGCTTGAGCTGGTGACAGGGCTGGGCTGGGCGGGGGAAGCTCTGAGCTCCTTCAGGGCAAATGGCCACCCCTCAAAAACCTGTGACTGCGTTTCCCAGCTGCATCAGCTGCGCCTATGGAGTTTTCACCAACAAGCCCAGCATTTTGCCCTGTTATGTACTCTGGTGGGTCATGACAAACACAGCCAGGCCTGGTGGATGAATAGCTGTCAGATCTTAGGCACCTTAGGAAAACATAAAAACTAGAAACCCTATATGTGCAGGCAGGCATGTTAGTGCACACCCAACATGAATGTGTATTTATAATAGGGTAGTTAAACAATAATCAGAATGAAGACTGATACGGTTAACGTGCGGCTAAAAGAGTGCTCTATTAGCCAGGAAGTCCCGAGTTTAGTTGGGCAAGCAATGATCTCTCAGTCTTTTGCCCTCCAACTGAAATATGGAGGGTAATAATTCAGATTTGCCTTACGAAGTCGTTGATGAGATAATATGTGTAAAGCCTTTAGAACACTCAGAAGACAACAGTTATGATTTACACATACAGTTGTTTTTAAAGAGATGCCTTTCTTCAGTTTCCTTCAGTTTTCCAGTCCATGCTACAAATGACATGGGGGATTTCAGTAACATGTTACCAATTTTAAAGCAAAACCAGGGGAATGGTATTAATTAAACCAGGTGAATTAATGCAGAAAACAAGGGTGTGACAATAGGTAATGCAAGTCTGGGAGAATCGGGATCCAAGTGAGAGACAGGAATGTGAAGCGATGCTTTATGTCACATGCTTGTATAATATAGGGGTCTAGATCCATTTCTTCCCCTTCTATTTGCCAGGAGGTCATGGCCACTGGTCCCATCACCTCCTGGCAAATAGAAGGGGAAGAAATGGAGGCAGTGAGAGATTTTACTTTCTTGGGCTCCATGATCACTGTAGGTGGTGAAAGCAGTCACAAAATTAAAAGACGCCTGCTTCTTGGGAGAAAAGCAATGACAAACCTAGACAGCATCTTAAAAAGCAGAGATATCATCTTGCCAACAAAGATCCGTATACATAAAGCTATGGTTTTCCCAGTAGTGATGTATGGAAGTGAGAGCTGGACCATAAAGAAGGCTGATCGCCGAAGAATTGATGCTTTTGAATTATGGTGCTGGAGGAGACTCTTGAGAGTCCAATGGACTGCAAGAAGATCAAACCTCTCCATACTTAAGGAAATCAGCCCTGAGTGCTCACTGGAAGGACAGATCATGAAGCTGAGGCTCCAATACTTTGGCCACCTCATGAGAAGAGAAGACTCCCTGGAAAAGACCCTGATGTTGGGAAAGATGGAGGGCACAAGGAGAAGGGGACGACAGAGGACGAGATGGTGGGACAGTGTTCTTGAAGCTACGAACAGGAGTTTGACCAAACTGCGGGAGGCAGTGGAAGACAGGAATGCCTGCCGTGCTCTGGTCCATAGGGTCACGAAGAGTCTAAACAACAAGAGACTAAACTACAAGATCCTTTGGGCCTGACGTTTGCAGTTTTGTGTTTCTGCAGTTCTGTGTTTCTGATCTCTGTCACTAGATGGCGATATACTCTAACAATGGCTCAGGCTTTGGCTGATGATCAAGATGTTGCTTCACCCCTCTAGGCTGTGCTGGGACCAGACAGGCCCCGCTGAATCAATTAGGGAATTGAAAGGATGTGGTTTTAAAAAATAAAATAGAAAATTCCCTAACAGTTTAAATCTGCCCTTTATTTCAAAATGCTGAATTATTGTGAATTATAAATGCATAGCTTCTGTACACCATTGAATCTGGTCCATGGGGTCACGAAGAGTCGGACACGACTAAACAAATAAACAACTAACTATATATTTATATATTTGATTAACAATACAAATACTGGGTTTTTTTAAGGGGGGAACTTTCTGATTACTTTTACTGCATCTGCAGTATTTGATATGTCTGACCTACGGTAATTAGATTTACCTTACTGTGCAATCTTGCATATATACTCAGAAGCCATTCCATGGAGTTCAGTGAGATTTGCTTCTGTGTAAATGAGTACAGGATTGCTGCAGTCCCCATGTGCCATTGCAGTTTGTTCCATCCACTCCAGGCTGACAAAGAAAGCCCGAAAGAAATAATGAGAACCCGGACTCTGCTGCTTCATAGGAAGGATTACCTACCTGACAGAAAACAACAGTGAATCTTGTGGCATCTTAAAAGATGAATAAATAAATTAATTATGGCACAAGCTGTTTGAAAAACCAGTCTAGTTTACCAGGGCATGATTTAAAATACAACATGAAAAACTGTTTACAACCAATTACAATCACAAAAATAGGATGTGCCCTAAAATACATATCTCAGGTACCAAAGGCCAGCTTAAAGATATGGTCATGCTGTGGTAAATTGGTTAATTTCTAAGGTGTCACAGGACCTTTTGCTGCCACTGCCACCCCTACTTTAACCCGCTACCAGCCTGTAGTATGATGCCCACTCCCAGCCCCCACCCCCCCATTCCTTTCCTTTCCCCTCTCTTTCTCTTCTTCCTTCTCTTTCTTTAAATGAACTTAAGACTGCTTTAAAGTTAATAACAATCATCAGTGTTGGGATACAGATCTCCAAGTGGCTTCTCACATGGTTTGCACTTCAGCTAGTCATGTGGGATGGTGTCCAATCACCAGGGCTGTAAGATCTAATTGCCAGTCTGGCTGGCATTTTTATGCAGCAGGGCTAGTGAGTTTGGTTTACTGAATTTATGTGTTGTTTCCCGAAACAGACACTCCAGAGCAATTTGCAAGAAAAAAACACAGTGGTACAAGAGAAGATTCATACACATAATAAAAACAAAATCAATGTGAAAGCACCTAGCATTGGTGCTGCTCGGACTCCCAGGAATTCAGAAATGTCTTTGCCTGGTGCCAAAAGGATGACAAAGTCCCTGGGAGTGTGTTCTGTAGGTGGGTGGTGCTATCTTCCTTTGGCCTTGGTCAACCAAATGAAGGGAAGTGACAGAGGCCCAGGCACAATTTGACTGTATCTCATTAAAGAAGTACGGTAGGTCCTAGCTGTGTGCCGAGGGCTTGATGTTTTCAGGGCCATTATCTACCTTCTGTTGGTTGCAGAATGAAAGTGTGCTCATTTCTCATGCAAAATCCACTTGTAAGATTTGTTCTGTTAAGAAAACGCCACATCTTAATAATCAGACTGCCAACTTTCATTATCATGGGTGGTGTAGTCTTCCACTATGTAAAATGGGATTGCAAATGAAGATATTTTGGGGTTTGGGGCAGAAAATTCATATGGCATCAATCTCCCACTAATCAGCATAGTATACAATCCCATGGGAAATTCTTCCCATTGCTTTTGTATCCCTTCCATTCATTTTTGCGGGGAAACATCATCATCATCATCATTATAATTTATATACTGCCCTACCCCAGGAGGTCTCATCCTACCCCAGACTGTGTCCAGTTTGCATAGCCTGCTGCACAAAATCCACTGTCTGAGCTGCCCCCTCATCTTTCCACATTAGGATTGCCTCTCCACGTTTTCCCCAACTCTTTCACCAGACAATGGGTGTACCTGTTTTCCATTGATGACCTTCCTCCCATCCTACAGAGATGTAGAGTCCCACATATTTTTGAGAAGGGACTTGACTATAAGTTTACAGTGAGGGGAGAGGATGAGAGGGCAAGTGGATCTGCCCTATCTCTAGGGTTTGTTGTGGCTGTTCCTTTGCACACCCCCTTCCTTCTCACCCCCCCACAAGTCCTTGGGGGTGGGAGAATGAGACTGAGTCATCCTGTTGCCTCATGGTATGAATCACTGGCTCAGCTCCGAAATTGTTGACCCAGATTGTTAAGTTCCCAGCAAATATTTACAGCTGTATCTGGAGTAACATCCCTCAGCCCCCAGGCTGGAACCAGCCCAGTCTTCCTGCTGGCCCTGCCTTTATGGCTGCCTCTGCATGCAAGAGCTTAGTGGGGCCTCTGTCTGGGAAGGAAAGCAGCTTTGTCAAGCTTGTGTGTCCATGTTTCATCACAGGACTGAAAGCAGCGAACAGTCAGCTGTGATGTATTGATCAGGATAGGCAGCACAAATTAATAAAATAAAGGAGCATGTGCCATTTTTTTGCCCAGGCAGAGAAAGGGGAGGGAGCATGTGCCAGCTTACTGCGGATGCTACCTCACTCCCAGTACGCCCACTGCTGCTGGGGTGGGAAAACATGACATGTAATGACAAGAGGGCACGGGGTGAACTGGACTAAAGACTAAGAGAGCATGGTGGGGAATTTGACACAGCATTTCTATTTTCCATGGCAGATACCATCTTGGCTGTGAATCCTGGAAGACCCGCCTTGCAGGCCTTTCCCCTCAGCTACAGAAGACCATCTTGGCTGTCTCTTAGTGCAGGCCCAGGTAACTGAGCCTCAGCTTCCACAGCTGCTGCCTGACATGAACTACCATTGGCAGGATTGGCAACAACAGCAGCAGAGACCACCTGGGCTGTCTTTGGAGCTGGAGGAGGAGGAAGAGAGGACAGAGGGTGAAGAAAGAGCTGTGAGTGCTTTCCCCATCCTTTGAACCCCCTTGAAAACACCACAGACTGCTGTACCTAGACATGTGTGTGGATAACGCAGCTGAATGGGGCACAGCTGTGGGCAGCCTGAGGAAGGACCACCCACCTTGGGCCTGCCCATAAAAATCTAGAGTGAGAGACTTGGGTGATGTCCACTGTGTCCAGGAACTCTTCTCATTGTCTGCTTTCTGTGGGTGAGCTGAGTTGGTTTGGTCCCTGGGTGGGAACCCAGAGGCTGAGGGGAGGGTGTGTTAGAAGGAAAATGAATTGTTATTGATTTATATAAATTAGTAACTCTGTATTAATGTAACATTTTTATATGTAACAATGTACTTTTGTAATAT